AGTTACGTGATGCCAGAGACCCACTATTGTCATAAAACTTGGGAAAGATCTTGCCATTTCCTTAAGTTTTCCATGTGGGCTAATTATTTTTGACACTTGAATCTTTCTTTCCTTTTTTTTTTTTTTTTTTAAGGTTTATTTATTTGAGAGAGAAAGAGAGTGAGAGCAAAAGCATGAGGGGCAGAGGAAGAGAATCTCAGACTCCTCCCTGGGCACAGAACCCAACTCGGGGTTCAATCTCACAACCCTGAGATCACAACGTGAGCTGAAATCAAGAGTCAGACACTTAGCCAACTGTACCACCCAGGTGCTCCAAGACACTGATCTTTCTGCTGCACTGTTTTTGGTTTTGTTTTTGTCAGAACTATAAGAACAAGTGGTCCACTGCAGAGATTTTCTCAGAACACGATTATTTTCATGCAAGTTCTAACTAGAAATTACAGCCCCTAACCACACACAGACAATGTGGTACCCTCCAAAGGTCTGTGAGCGGGAAAGGGGCCTTCGGGGGAGGAGAGCTCAGTACCACTTCCCAGGATAGCCTCTCAGGCCAGCCGGCTCCAGGCTGGGAATGCCTGTGGGTCTTCCGGGAGAAGAGAAGTCCAGTGAGGAATACCTGGCTTTTCCACCCTCCCCACTCACAGGATGTCGGAGTGACACCCAGATGACAGCCCGGGGATGTCAGAAACAGCCCAAGGTATTGGGAGCAAGTCCACGACAGACAGACATGTTACTCTCTTCCTAGGGGAAACTGCCCAGGCGCATTGGGAAGATCTGGGACGTGGTACTGTTTTAGCAGGAAATTAATGATGAGGTGGTGTGGCTGGCCAGCAGGGAAGGGCTAGGAAGAGTTCCCACCCTTCCCCTGCCCGCTCTCTCCGTGGAGTGCAAGCCCTATGCAAGGATGGACCGGCAGTTCCTTTACCCCCAGGTCAGGGGTGGCGGCAGAATCTACTCCGGGACTGCTGTGGGAGGAGTGAAATGACCTGCTGGCAGAAATGCCCTGAAAACTAACCATAGGGAACCCTACCCTACCTACCCCCTCTCCGAAGACCTCCCCTCAGCCGGGGTGGGGGAGGCATAATGAGGAGCCACAGTAGGGCTGAGGAGTAGGTCATGTTCCTCCTGAACAAACATCATGTCAGGGTAAGAAAAACAAAACTGAGAGCCATGGTTGGACCCGGTTCTGAGTGTGGTTGGAGGAGGGCTCTCAGCTTGCGGCCCCCAGAGCCAAGGGCATATGCTCAGACAGCACGCTTCTGCATAGCATGTCTGTCTTGCTTGCTGGGTATGCCTTCCTTGTGCTGGGAAAGGATGCTGGCTGCTTCTGCTAAGACGGAATTGTGCTGCCTTCTGGAACAGGGACACTCTACCAAAGAACATTAGCAGGTCTAAAGCTTTAGGAATCTTGTTTGTTTAATGAGCAGAAAGCAAATACACAGGTGGCTCAGTGGGGATCCAGAAGACCTCAGAGAAGAACCAAGCCAGCCTTGGAGCTCTTTGTCCTTGAAATAGGATTTTGTAACGAAAACACCAGGGTCAGGACCAGAAAGTTCATTTTGAAGTTTACTAATTTGAACAGGAACCTTTTTCATCCTCCCAGTATGAGCAATCCCGATGAACAGAATCTCCCAACTATCGGGATAAATGGGAATTCTGATTTCTTCTGTTCCCTTCCAAAGCTGGAGCTGAGGGCTTCCCTTCTCCCTTCTCTCCTGCCTCGCTCCAGACTGTAGGCCCATCCCCTGATGAAGTGGTTATGGATGAGGACAAAGGCACTGGGGCCCAGTGGTTTTCCCCTCGCTGCTCCCTAATCATCTCAGAGGGAATGCACCCCTGCTCTCACCTCTCACTTTCCCTTGGCACCAGAAGGGCCACTTCTGGGTCTAAGATTCCAAGAACATCATCTTCTGGTCTTTTTTCCCACATAAAGACAAGGCCTCTGCCTGGCAGTGTGACAACAGGTAGTTTCATCCATGAGGCATCTGCAAGCCAGGACTACGGCCCACACACTGAGGGAAAGCACAGTTTATCAAGAAAGAAGTGTCCTGGGAGACTTGATTAGCTTAGGCTAAATTCTGCTGAGGTAACAAATCACCCCCAAACTTCAGTGGCTTCTAATGCTGATGTTTTATGTTTCTCTCAAATTACACGTCCGTCACAAGCTGGAGACCCAGGCGGAGGGAGACACCTCTTCCTGGAACATGGTAGGTCTTATGGTGGAAGGGACCCGGCAGGCATGGCTGCCTGGTCAAGCTTTAGTTTACTGGTTGCACAGGTCACTTCTCCCTATTTTTCACTGGACACAGCAGGACATTTGGCCACTCCCGAATTCAAAATGGCAAGATATGTATTCCTGACGCAGGAAGGAATTACCACATGCCAAAGCTTGACACCGGTGAGCAGCAGGTATGATTCTCCCCTAAGAAGGGGTGGAGATTTTGAACAAAGATATGGTCTAGTCTTCCCACTGCCCCAGAGCAAGTAATTACCCCAGTGCTTCACCATCCCACCCACAGCTTGGTGCGGGCTGGGCCTGGAGTTTCCCTTGGTATCTGGGTTGATGAGGAAAGGAGAGGTCCTGATCCCACTTGAGTGCGGTGACAAGGGTGACGGAATATGAGAATACCGATGTCATTTCCTACACAGGGTCGTAGGTCCCCCGATACCCCATGGCAGTCTGGGAACCTCTCCACCTACTTGTGGATCTTTCAGCGAGCAAGTGATTTCTGGGTCCCAAACAGTGAGGGTCAGGACACGGGCTATGGAGCCCACAGACGTAGCCAGAAGCTATGAGGCGCGAACAGCATCTTTAACATAATCTTATATTTGGAAAAGCAGTTTTTAAAAAACACTTGAAAATACAAGATAGGGTAACAGTGACTTACATAAATTTTCACCTTATATTGCTTGGGCCATTTTTTACATATAAATTATTGCTTACTAACTTCGATAAATACACAGCACAGTCATATACACAGAAGCAGAAAGCATGATGTAAGGAGAAAGAAAATACTGTTAATGGCAATTCTGGTAATTCCACAAATGTTTCATATTCACCAGCTCTTATAATGGTGGAAAACTATGAAGTGTAGTCCCTGAGAAGTTAGGTAGACACCCTGATTGCGGGTTTGCTATCTTCTAATTGTTAACGCAAGCTGAAAATGTCCCAGGAGTCCTAATTAATGGTACATTAAAAGGCGAGAGTCCTTGCTTCAGGGCGTCAGTTTCATCCCAGTATTTAATAACCGTGTCATACGAATACAATAAATAGGCTATGCAAATAAATATTACTCTGCTAAAAAACGTTTAGTATATACAGCTTTGCTTTATACAGTAGTACAATTTCATCTAACTTTTTGGCAATTTTTAAAAACTTTTCTGCCGCCTACAAGTTTTAAGCACGACGGCCCACTCACTGAGAAGCAGGCTGAAATTCTACGGACATCGCTCTGAAGCATTTAAAAGAAACTCCATATTAGACAACTGCAGTGGACCTGACCTCCCCCCATTTGAATGTTTTTGCCTAGTTTCTGAGAAGCATGGATTAGCTGTGCCATTCCAGAATGCGAGGTTTGGGACCTGTGCTGTATGTGACGGCCCTAACAAGACAGGGGGCTGGGATTAGGGCCGTGGGGAAGCTCAGCTCCAGGGGCGAGAAATCACCAACTCCCTCTTTCATTCAACCGTCTCTCTCCACTCAGAGGCTTGCCTACACGGCACAACACCGTCTGCCAATCGGAGGCCTGGCTTTTTGCTTTATTCCTCATCCTTGTGACTTCAACGTACGCTCCACCCACCTTGCTTGCAGACAGGGGTCTAGGAAAATCCATTTATTCCAACTTCATTAATGATACTAACAAAAAGTGAATGTAGGTCTTAATATTTAGCACTAGAACCAGTTGGTACAGATTATAACAAAAAGTGAATTTAAAACGTGGTAGCCTGTGGAGCATCTGCAAATATGAATGGAGAAAAGTTTCTGAAAGGTTGCTGTTTTGCCTGCAGGAACCTGTCCTGAGCTCACTTCCAAGCAGGACTGCTTTGCTGCTGACGAGTCCATGGGCCCGCAGGACCATCCGGAGTTTGTGATATAGCAGCAAGAACCTGCTGACAAGTGCTCACGGGCCACTTGTCAAGGAAGGTGGCAGATGACAGGTTTTCAGAGTGAATGGAGATCTTATGCAATCACAAAATCTAAGACCTGGGAGGGAGTTTTGACATCTTCATACGTGCTTCTAGCCAGAACAGAACCTATTACCAAGAGATGTGGGCAAATATTTGGAAAGGGAATACAGCCCACCCCTCTTTACAGGGGACCTTGCTGTCAGACAGCCTGGCTTAGGGAGGGCAAGTTTCACGCTGAGCTAAGTGTGGTTCCCATGGTTCCGCCTTCAATTCTCGAGTTCCAGAAGGAGGTCTTCACAGGGCTTTGGGAACTGCTGAGCTGCTGATGCTTGGGAACTCTCTGGAGACAGTTGTTAAATTTCAGAAAGATTTGGGAAAATTCTGACATTCATAAGGCAGGGATGAGAAAGCAAATGTAAATCACACAAAACCCTCCCTTACGGCTGCTGCTGCCCTCAGAGTCGCGTGGCCACAGCTAGAGGGGATTGGGGGCAAGAACCCCATTCTCCCCGGCCTGCGTCTGCCCATACCGGGGGGAATACTGACTGCACCACAGCAAGGTGTTCAAACGTGGTGTGCGTGTGGAGGCATGGGGCTGTGTTCGCATCCGAACTGGGATCTGAGCCGCAGGAGCTATGCTGAAACCGTTCTCCGCTGAAACCAGGTCCTCAAGAGGTAATGCTCTGGTGGGAGCATCGGAGATCTGATGTGAACAGAGCTAATGCTAAAATGTAGAGACGGTGTCAAACCGGCCTGAGACGATCGGACTGGCCACATGATCCTCCTCCCTAGTGCAGAGAAAAGGTGAGAACACAGGCCTTCGTGCTGTCAGCCCACGCTACTTCCAGTAACTGCCAAGGGGAGAGCTCTCACCTTGCTTGGCTGTGAGAGGAGCCAGTCTTTCCCTGGTTCACTGGCTCTCGTGTCCTCCAGGGTCTCAGTCCATTCCGGGTAGGCTGAGCTTGTCTTTGAGTGGCCCAGTCCTGGAGGGTGCCCTTCTCTTACAGCCATGTTAGTTTTCAGGCCTCAGGTTTCTACGTGCAGGGACAGATGGCGTCTCCTTGAAAGTCCTCCCCCCAATTTTCTCCACATGGTTCTTTCCCGTGACCTCTCAAGCTCATGTGGTTCCCAAGCCCAGGAACCAGTGCCACTGACACGGTGTATCAGCCAGCCTCGGGCACCACTGTCCTAAGGTGTGGACGGGACAGCGGGAAGCAGTTCTGTGTGGGCAACTGAGGGATGAACAGGAGGAACACGGAGAATTCACTCGCGTGGAAAAGGAGGGCCGAGCACCCCCTCCGGATGGGCGTGTAGCCGGCAGCGGAGGATCTCACTCTTGTATCCCACACACTTTTGTTGTTCACGGGACGCTCAAGGGTAATCCTCTAACCAGGTCTTCAGAATAACAAGAGGTTTTATTTACTAGCAGAGCCAAAATCGGAATAAAAATAGACTAAAAGGTTCTTAGACTTTTGGGGGTTAAAAAGACAAATTAGAGAAAGACTCCAGGCCTTGGCTGGGAGGTGGACTGCAGGACTTCTGAGTGTCCAACATCAATTCAGACATCTGGGTATTTGGGGCTTCTTATTTTCTGTAAGACGGGTAGTCACTGGTCACCACCTTGCCCTTGTCTTGGGAATGCTAAGTGTTGGCCACATCAATCCCACTTAACCTCCTGTGCTGGCTGTTACCATTCTGTACTGGGGCAGAGGAGCCTGCTGGAGGCCAGCAAAACCCCAGGACATCATCAGGCACAAGAAGGCAGACCTTTGGGACTCTGTTACCTCTCTGAATTATTACCAAGTACCTATCCTTTATCAGGCACTGTGCTTTTCAAAAAATCACGCTGTTTCCAATAATAAATGTGAATCTTCTTGCATACGTGAAGAAAATCCCCAGAAATTAAACAGCAAGTCTGTTTCTTACAAATGATTACTATTTTTCCTTATTGGCAAAGCAATGCAGCCCATAGCTGCAAATCAGTTGGGCAGAAATGCATTTCCCCTGCAAGCCTGCATGGATAAGTGATTGTGGATACAAAGAAACACATGCCTTGGTGTTTCCATTTTGGAGATCAGAGCACGGATGCTGGCTGGTCCTCACTAACTTCTAGACAGTGGCTTTTGGTGATATCACGGTTTGTACTGACATCGGCCACTCCTTTTCCCTGGAAATTAAGAGATGCCATCACTGTCTTTATGTGTTCAAATGAGCTGCTTTTTTTGACAGCCTATAAACAGTAATCTACCACCAGGCAAAGTAAAACTCTTGTCTCACGCACACTCGTACTGACGTATTTGGTCACTAGGACAAGACATGCTCTCGTCTTGACACCGGCACATCTCAAGATCAAAATTGGGTTGAATCAACAATGCAGTCGTGAGAAGCCAGACTTCTCCACTTCAAGCATGCTTCTGACTCTTTTTCTGTCTTCTTGTTCTGACAGCAGCTTGGAGAGGCCTCTCCCCATCTCTGGTGGCTGACATCACTTCCTAAACACGCTTGGCTTGGCCCTCCTGTGTGTGTCTTATGCTGATAAAACTCAGCAACTTCTTTTCTCACAGGAAAGCAACGTGCTCAGCACTGACATGCCCAGAGCTCAAAGTGCTGCAGTTATGGGGGAGGCCGGCTGAGGGGAGAGGGGGCAGCTCATACTCGGGGCTCGATCCGGTGGGACAGCTCAAACAGGGCCTGCTGGCTGTCGATGACATACAGGTGATTAACGTAGGATTTTAACTCTTGGTGCTCCTTTGGAGACATGTCACCTCCTGCTTTTTGGAAGGAAAAAAAAAAAAGTCAATCTCCTGAGAGCAGAAACACTATCTCTAAATACCAGTAAAACCTCAGGAGGAGGCTGAGGGCACATGGACCAGGTAGCCTCTAAGTCACACGCCAGAAGGGAGATCCTTAACTTCACAGTGCATATGCTTCTCCAGCCCAGGCTCGGGCCTCAGCCCATGCCATTAGACTGGCAAGCTATTCGTTTCACTAACATTCATAGAGCACTTATTACCTCACGTTATCTAGTATTTAGCAATTGCGTCAGCAGCCCCCCTACAGAATGTAAAGCAGCAGAGACACACAGCCAGTACGTGGCAGAGCACGACTGGTGCCCAGGCCACGTGGCTCCAGAGTCCACATCCCTGGTCCCACGTCACGGTAACTGCCTGTCTCAACGGCTGTCCCGGGCTCTTTGAGCTCAGTCTGGAATCGTCAGAAGTTACTGCTCATCTGCTCAGCGCACGGACACAACAGTTTGCTTGTGTTTAGATGTTGTATAATTCTTTGGCATCCTTACTTTTTGAAAGAATAAAAAAAAAATGAAGGAAATACTTGAATGAAAAGGTATCATAGAACTGAACTTAAGGTGCGTTGAGCAGGCAAAGCAAGTTCCAGAAGTACGTGGACCGGCTCACGTCTGCCCAGCAAAGGACGAGGCAAGGGGGTTTTCTCCTCCCAAACCCAGGGTCGTTAAAAGCCTGAAGGGCCGTGAGAATCTTTGGCGCCATGTGAGCTCGCAGGCACGTGCCATGCTGGTGACAGCTCCGATAAGAGGCCTGAGATAAAGCAGCCTGGACAACGGGGCAAGCCCACTTCCCAGAGTCAAAACCAAACACAATCCAGAAAAAAATCCCCCCAAACCTCAAGGCACTGTGGCCTGACTAAACCGCTAGAGAGAGACAATGTCCCTGAGAGACAGTGACGTCATGTCCTCTGGCCTCATGGGGTTTCAGATGGGAGCAGCAGCAGTGGGCCTGAGGAGAAGGGGTGTGCAGGGGGCTAAGAATTTTAGTGCAGCAGTTTTTTTCTCTGGGTGAGATCCATTTTTTCCCTCCTCTGTGACACACGTGTTTTATAAGGCTTGTCAGTCACGGGTAGCTTGTCATTCCTTAAGGCTTAATGGCAAACAAGGTTTCCCGGTTTCAAAGAGTTGAAGCATCAGGAGTTAGTTTTTATCATTCCACTTGTTTGGAAGTGACTAAAAAGTGGTATTATTCTAGAATACCTTCTCTGGGAGACACTGAAGAGACTGCTTTTGGTTTAGTAAATACTGATTTAGAAAACAGAGTGGTACAAAATAATTTTGTTATTACTTTTTTGACCTAAAGATGGCAGAATGAATGGATCCAACCATGACCAATGACACCCGCACAGCACTCTAATTTTTAAGTGACTTGGTTCATGTTATCATTTTATCCCCAGTGCTGACATGGGTTTACTATGACAATATAAACTGTCAAACTTAACCCCACTCAGTCGCAAACCCAATTTTTAAAGATATGTAAGTAGAGAACACAGAGTTATGCTTCACGTTATGCACACCTACTCCCTGGCGACGGGAGGTTCAAGACAGGGAGGAGGCCACCAAGCCATATGGCCTTCCTGCCCACACTTGGGAGAGTCTCTTGGTCAGGGAGACGATGTCTCAGAATGAGCTCAGTACCCATCAATACTTGGGAGGCCGAGGAAGAGGAAACAAATAGGAACCAACACTCAGCAACATTATGCTTATACATTTAAAAGAATCCCCAGGACCCTGTTATCACTGTTTCTATGGTAAGTGCCTCCATGGTGTGCTTTCTGCAGAATTACAGATGCACATATCAGGTGGCAGTAACTGATGAAGTATTTTAAAAACATTGGTCCTGTATTTGTAGCTCTCCCTTTCAAGCAGAAACTTGATAATTTAAACTGAATTTCCGTTGCTTTGTCGGGAGACAATACTGCCAGCCAAGACCAGCTGGGACAAAAAAGAAAAAAATTATTAAAAATATGCACTTATCCTTAGGAAATAGGACTTTGATCTTTCTGCTTTCCATTTTGTGTCCTTCTGTATTGTTGAGAAAATTATAATGAGGATGTTTTACTTAAAGCTTTATTTAGTGGCCAGCTTTGATTTCTAATTATTGAATTAAACTTTCTAATTTTTTTTTTCCATTGCTCTTATCTATGGAATAGGCACAAGGCAAAGAAAAGAGGATGGATCAGGAAGTCCGGACGGCTCCGTCTGACTAAAGGCTGAATGGGTTAACTGAGGCTCTGCTTTTTGCTCTGCCTGAATGATCTCCGTGCACCAATCACCAATACCGGGGTCAGGATGCCAGTGCCCATGTGAACGCTCCTTGAACTCAACAAAGGTATTTCCTTCCTTCCTGCCATGTTTTAATGCTATTTAAACATAGTGTAAATTATGCTCGAGGTTTAAAAAGGACCACATATTCCTACATATGTTCATCTCAGTGGGGGAGTCCATAGAAGTGCTCAGAAAAATACGTTTTCAGTGAAAGGCAACTCCAGTCAGGAAGTTTTTGTTGGAGAGGAGTAAAAATTCTGGAAGGCTGCTTTAGGCACTTTTGCAAACTGTGTTCCTGTTCCAGGAAGGCTCCAAGCAAGGAGGTTAGGGACAGGATCACCCCTGATAAACCCACTGGTAATTCGGAGCCACGGGACAAGCAAACAGACTTTCTGGGTCAGGGGTGCAGTGGGGAGCCTCTGATTGTCTAAAGTCACTCTGTACAGGGAGACCTACTGCCTCGAGAGGATAAAAAGCTGCCCTATCTTGTCTTCCTCTGCATCCCTAACAGGCAGTGACGAAATGAAAAGAGAATACGGCACCTGCATATTACCCTTTATAATCGGTTTCAATACATTCCTACCGAACACTTGGGACCGGCTCGTGGTCTCTGCTAAGCTTACATTCCGTGCCGGACTGCCAGTACTCACCAAACTGATTCGTCCTGCAGTGTCTCAGGGTTCGGACGGTGTCGGCAATCATGTGCTGCAAGGGAGAGCAGACACCTATCAATGGGAGAGTTATTTAGGGTGCTGCTGGAGTAGCGGTGTCTCCCGGGATGGAAGGATTTTATACCCTTGGGTAAAATGGAAGGGATGTATTTGGAACTGGACTTTAACTGAGAACACTGAGCTTGGCTTATGAGATATTCAGTCTTCGTCTGCAGAAACAGTGCTTCCAGCCCAGGCTGCACAGAGTCTAACCAAGCCCTGGGTTTCCACATGCCATGGACTCTGACAGCCCTTTGCTTACACAGTGTTGGCAAATCCAGCACCCCCAGCCCTGTCTGCCTGTCTGAATCTGCACAGGCTTTTCACTTCTGGGGATGTTTTGGTTGCTCTCCGTGAAGCCTGTCTGAGATTTCCCTTCTGAGTCTGGGAGGTTCCTTCGGACAGTACAGATTGGCCTGTGTGGTCCTCACTGCTCGGGATCTCTGCACCTCCTCTAGGCCAGGTGCCACTAGAGGCCTCTGCGTGCCCAGCACCTGTTATATGTCACACAGGGATTCACTCACACCTGCTGAATGCAGGTAGGAATATGGGTAGCATCGAAGACTCAGTATCACAAATCAAGACAGGAAAAGAGTCACAAAAGTTGAACATTTTCTAAAACCCCAGAATCATTACAGAGACCATTTTCAGTTTATGATTTACATTCTCTCCAACAGTCTTCAGGATTTTGCTTTAATTCTTTCTTTGAAGTTCTCACTGATCTGCAGGCAAGTCTTCTTGACTTTATGGATGCCTTTGACCAGCTCTCACCAGCTCATACTCAGGTACCTCCAACAGTCTTCTAGTTCTCTTGTTTTTAGTGTTCCACCATGAAGGAGAGAGACAGCATTTAGGACAACACCATTCTGCACTATTGTTCCTCTCCTCCGGTTGCTAGAATCATCTCCGAACACTGTTGCTATCATGTTCTAGTCCTCTGGAAAATCCACAGTGACTTTCTCATTTGGTTCATCTCAAAATCCAAACATCAGGGGCAACTGGGTGGTTCAGTGGGTTAAGCCTCTGCCTTCGACTCAGGTCATGGTCTTAGGGTCCTGGAATTGAGCCCCGCATTGGGCTCTCTGCTCAGTGGGGTGGCCTGCTTCCCCCTCTCCCTCTGCCTGCCTCTCTGTCTACTTGTGATCTCTTTCTCCATCAAATAAATAAATAAAATCTTAAAAAAAATCCAAACATCATCCTATTATTCAAAAATCAACATTATCCATTATCTGGTCCTCCAAACCTCCCTAAACATGTCATCATCTTTCCTGTCCTGCGTGTACATACCAAGCAAAGGCTTGTCCATTTACAGCAAGCCCTTAATGAATGATTGCTAAAAGAATAATATGAGTACAAAACTTTTTTAAATTTAATATCCCTTAGAACTGTAGAAACTTTATTTGAACATGACCTACTTATTAAATTGTTCTCCACTGTATTTCTGATTTATTTCTACTCAGTAGTGAAAAATTAAATAGGGCAGTGATTAGAACAGTAGCTCAGTCTGCCTTTGTAAAGGAAATGAGACCTGAGTCATGTCTGTGAATGTACTGTTAATGTTTCCTTCCCCAAATGTGACCGCTCTTCCCAGGGCAGGTCTCTTGTTCTAAGCTATGGCGTCACACTGGTTTCTATCGTGTGCCACTCGTGCGGCTCCCGGGAGCCCTGGACGGGTGCAAGGCTGAATACTAAATACCACAGGGACACCTGGGTCCTGGGCCTCATCTTTGGCTTTCCCGAAGCAGGAAGGAGGAGGAGGAGGAAAATCTGGTAAAGGATGATACTCTCGACATGGAAAAGAGAAAGCGTCTGTTTCTTGGTTATTTAATAGTTCAGGGGTGAAATGGTTAGAGCTGCTGAGACAGCAGAGGGCACGACAGACAGCTCATTAGACCCAGTGCGCACGTCGGGGCCCTCGTGTTGTCGGCCATCATGTGCTGGCCTGTATCAGCCAGATAAAGAAAATGCACTGAATTATTTGCTAGCTGGCGTAGGCTAATATCCACCATGAGGAATTGGCTTCTTACCAGTTAATTCAGTTAGGTTCTATTGGTTCATTATTGTGAAAGATGATCCTGCTGTAGCTTAAGCGAAACGCTGTTCCTTGCTAAGAAACATTCCTTCGAAAATATTGACTCCATTAGGAAATTCAGTTTCCTTCTCCAGCATCCAAGTAGGAGACAGGGCTGTGTATAATGTAAAATACATTTCTGTCCTTCGAAAAAATGTGAATGCACCCTGTCTTCTCTGTGAGAGGAAGGGGGTCAGCCTGAGGTGGGCTGCATCGTTAAATGCCATCTACTTTGAGGACCAGGAACTCCCCAATATTACAAAACCTGCTCTCTTTAGCAATGATGTGCTAACAAGCACCTAATGAATGCACAGGGGTGCTAGGGCCCTGCTCTGGGTACGTATACCTGTGTTTCTTTCTTTCTTTCTTTCTTTTTTTTTTGGTGGACAACAAAACAAAATTTATTGAGCAGTAGTTCAAAGCTCCTGAAGAGGGAGGGGACCCGAGAGGACAGCCCTATAGCTGCATTGATTTTCTAGCTGTCTTTTTTTCATAAAGTTCTCTTCAGGAATTTGAAATTTAAAAGAGAGGGCTCCTGGGTGGCTCAGTCAGCTAAGCATCTGCCTTCGGCTCAGGTCATGATTCCAGGGTCCTGGGATCGAACCCCGCACTGGGGCTTCTCCTTGTGCCATTCTCCCTGCTTATGCTCTCTCTGTCAAGTAAATAAATAAATTTTTTTAAAAAGTAAAATAAAATTCAAAGGAGAATATGATTACTTATATATGCCATGTTATTTCCTTAAACCATCTTAAAGAATTAAGATGGGGTCTCTGCTCAGTGGGGGAGGGCCTGTTTCCCCCTCTCCCTCTGCTTGCCTCTCTGCCTACTTGTGATCTCTACTACTGATTCTAACAGATTGTACTGATTCTACTACTACTGATAGCTACTGATTCTAACAGAAGGACTATTTATTAGACTTTGTTTTGTTCCCTATGATCAGTCTGAAGTCTTTTTTTTTTAAAGATTTTATTTATTTATTCGACAGAGGAAGCGACAGTGAGAGAGGGAACACAGGCAAGGGGAGTGGAAGAGGTGAGCAGGCATCCTGGTGAGCAGAGAGCCCAATGTGGGGCTCCATCCCAGAAACTTGGGATCATGACCCGAGCCAAAGGCAGATGCTTAACCAACTGAGCTATCCAGGTGCCCCAGATTTTACTTTTATCTTTCCCTGTGGTCACTCTGAAGTGTTGACACATCTGAAAGCAAGACCCTAGACTACATGAGCTGCATTAGAAGGCTTCTACTGGCATGCTGGAGAAAGCATGGGAAACCAGAGATGCTGCTCAGAGGGAGAGAGAGGGCTGCAGGGATCTTTCTGCTGCTCTCTCCCATCTGGGCCTTTATCGAATTGTTCTCACACTTTGCTGGCACCGTCTGAGGGCCAGCGACACAATGAGCTTAACCAAACCACCAGTTCCCTTTGGGGAGGAGGTCCACCGCCAGTCTGCCCTCAACAATCGACAAGAGTCAGCTTATGAAGAGTGCGATTGTTCTCTCGCACTCCCTCTGAGTCAGAGGGAAACTCACTAGACCTTTATAGGGGATTCCACTCAGTGTGAAACACCCATCCCACATCTTCACACATGCTCTCCAATGCTTGTTAGGCATTCTTAACCAGATGTGCAGGCCAGGGTTTGAAGAAGATACTGATGGAAAGCATCATTTGCTTGAAACCATTTCATTAATATCACACACTGGAGATGAACCTACACAGAGTCTAGAAGGTCAGGGCCTACAGCCTTTGGTTGCAAAGAGGTGCCCTATGGTCTTCAGAACATAACACACTGATGTAGCAGAAATCTCAAAGAATAAGTACCAAAAAACCCCACTTTGAATATACATTTCTGGCTGTGCTGGTTTGACTGTAGAGTCTTCTAACTGAGCTCTGATTCCAAAGCAATGCAGAGGGTCTTAAAAAGTTACAAACCCATCCACTTTAATTTTTTTTTTTTTTTTTTAGATTTTACTTATTTGACAGAAAGAGTGATCACAAGCAGGGGGAGCACTAGAGGGAGAGGGAGAAGCAGTTCTCCCTGCTGAGCAGGGAGCTCGATACGGGGCTTGATCCCAAGACCCCGGGATCATGACCCCAGCCAAAGGAAGACACTTAACCAAATGAGCCACCCAGGTGCTCCTAAACACATCCACTTTAAAAATAACTGGGCACAGAGGCACCTGGGTGGGGGAGTCGATTAAGTATCCAGCTCTTGGTTTTGGCTCAGATGGCGATCTCAGGGTTGTGAGATCGAGTCCCATACAGGGCTCTGTGCTCAACACAGAGACTGCTTTAGATTTTCCCTCTGCCTCTCCTGCTTGTGTTTTCTCTCAAATAAATAAACAAATCTTAAAAAAAAGGGGGGGGGGCACAAACCTATCATCCTCCAGTGATTAAGATGGAGCTATGACAAGATATCCCAAGATGTCTATCTCCCAGATTCTAGAATTGTGGGTTTTCAAGTTGCACTGCGGTTCTCTGCTGCCTCACCCGCTGTGCGGTGAGTTAAGCTGACCATAAGAGCAGGGCACTTACAAGGGAAAGGTCAGACTCAAACCCCGCCTGGACTCATCAGTGTGTACTGCTCTTTTGGTCATGGTCTGCAACCCCTGTCTCCCTCAACCTGCTGTCACAGGCCTGACCTTGTTTCATAGGGAACCAGGGGTCAGTTCCTGAAAGAGTTCACACAAACCCATTATCATTGCTGAAAAGGTCACTCAAAGGTCAGGATCTCCATACAGGGATCACTGGTATCATCTCTAACTATGAAGGACAGTCTCATCTGTGTCACTAAGGTTCATTTACCAGGCAGACTCATTCTGGGGTCAACTGGGCCTCTTTGGAGCACTCCCATTTGATTTATCTGGCTCAGTTCTGGCAGGCCACCCCTCCTTGGCCCCAGGCCACTCAGAAAGGTGAGGAGGAGCCTACCATAAGAGAAAAAACCCTGGGAAGGTCCTAGAAATAATTCAGCAAGAGGCCTTCTGGTAACTTGCAGGAAGGGACTGACTGGGAACCTTTCACTGGTGAGCAGGGAGGGCCCTATGCCAGCGCTGCAGTCTCCACAGTTGTGCACCGTTCAAGGGCTGACAGAGGCATGCAACCTGCCCTCACACTCACTTGCTCCCAATTCCACCTTCATATCCGAGTGGGGAGCACTGGAGACAAACACACCTCCCCAGAAGCTTCTTCCTGAGCCTCGGGAGCCGTGTACACCGAGACACGGAGAGATGCCTTTCAGGAAGTCAGGCTTAGCCTCTTGCATGCGAAATTCCTCCTGACAGAACCTTACGGTTTTACTTCTGGTTCAGTAACACACCTTCCACCTCTGACAGAAATGTAATGAAGTCCCATTTTCAAGCCTATTCATATGTGGTTCTCAAAGCCTTGCGAGCACCCCCATTTTTAACTGGAATACATTTTCGTGACAATGCATAACATGCAGCAGACGAGCTCCTGCAAACCACTGTGCTTTCAAAGGAGAAAAGTACTTAAACCATTTGTTTCTTGGAGCAAGAAAGAAAAGCATACACTTTCCTTACAGGAGGGAAAGGGGAGAAATAATGAAATTTACATACCAGTTTTTCAAAATTGACAAGATTATCCAAAAATGTTTTATTTCCTTCATGAATAAATGTTACATCTGAAAATTAAAAACAAGATATATGTGCTGTTAGGAATGAGTCAGGGCTAAGGAGGTCTAGATGGAATGCAACTTATTAATTTTTCTTTTTATATCTTTTTTTTTTTAAGATTTTATTTATTTATTTGAGAGAGAGACGGTGAGAGAGAGCATGAGTGAGGAGAAGTTCAGAGGGAGAAGCAGACTCCCCATGGAGCTGGGAGCCCGATGCGGGACCCGATCCCGGGAGTCCGGGATCATGACCTGAGCCGAAGGCAGTCGTCCAACCAACTGAGCCACCCAGGTGTCCCAATTTTTCTTAAACATTGTGCATTATTCCATAAATTTGACGAGGCAACCTGGAATTGAATCTATAAGGTATTCGATGTGAAAAGGCATAATTTGTGTTTTTGAGTGTGGGAAGAGAACATAAACGAACAAATGCAATGATTTATTTTGTACACAGTGAAGAGCCTGACTTCAACTTAACCAGTATAACTTAACCAGCCCACTAATTTTTAGGCCAGAACATTGAGCAGAAAAGAACTACATAGCCAGAAACAAAAGAGTTTTAAAATCTTTGTGTTTGCTTTTTAACAATTCCTGGCCAAGTGTATGGGGCCTGTTTTACCTAAAATGTTAGTGGATCCAGATGCAGATGTTTCAATTTAGATTTTTGGTTCCAAAAACCAGTGCCCGATTGTGTATCAGAAGTGTATCAGAAAGGGATAAGCCTGAAAATGGCAGAGTTTCTGGCTCTCCTTGACAGGTGCAAAAAAGCATCACTGACAAAAAGAACACAAGGAACGTAGGATGAAAGTACATTTTCAGAGGAAGGGGAAGTTACATTTGGTTTGAGCCTCATTGCATTTAAAATGACAGAAGATACTCAAGCAAAAATCTCCTTTTGGATGCAAAAACAAACAAACAAAAACCAAAAAACAAAAATCAGAACTGAAAAACCCAGGAGTCCCTCTTCAAGAGAAAGGGATTTGGGAATCATTTAAAATAAAGATAGCAGCTGAAGCTCAATGAGCAGTGGCTCATTAAAAACTCACATCAGAGGGTCAATGACTGGAGCACTAAGGGAATCCTCTAAGAGAAGAATCAAAATAAGAAATATATTACAGTTTAAAAAGCCTGCAAATAATCATGTTAGATCACAAATTTGGAGGGCAGGGGTGCCTGGGTGGCTGTCAGTGGGGCGTCTGCCTTCAGCCCGGATCATGATCCCGCGGTCCTGGGATTGAGCCCCACATTGGGTTCCCTGCTCAGCGGGGAGCCTGTTTCCCCCTCTCCCTCTGCCTGTAGCTTCCCCCTGCTTGTGTGCTCTCTCTCTCTGTTTCTCTGTCAAATAAATAAATAAAAATCTTAGAAAAAAGAATTAAAAACAAAAAGCAAAAGTGGAGGGCAAACCAAATGAAAACTACCATGTTAAAGTAAGCTGACATAAAAGAGGGAAAAGAACAGCTTTAGATTCCTATAAATAGAAAGGGAAAGCATTTGCATCTAATCAAGACTTTCATTCTGCTGGTCCCTGTGGGGCAATTATGAGCTAGGTGCTCTGGAAACCTGCCTAGGATGCATTTGGCCGCTGAGCTTTGATGGCCCACGAGGGGGCGACACGAGTTACATAGTTACAGGATACCCTGATACAAATCTTTCCTCAAGCCATCCCTTACATACAGCTTCCAGTACTGACTGCAAAGATTTCCTAGGATTTTTCCCCTTCTTTTAAAACGATGTTCTAACAGGAAAACAATTCACAATTATACGGTCATCTGACAAACTCTCTGGTTATTTTATTATCTCTCAAGACTTTGCTTTCAAAAAAGAACTACAAATTTTCATTCTGTGTCACAATATTTAGAAGACAGTAGTCCTGGGTCACCTGGCTGACTCAGTCAGAAGGGCATGCAACTCTTGACCTCAGCGTTTTACATTTGAGCCCCACATTGCGTGTAAAGATTTAAAAAATAAAAAAATCGTGGGGTGCCTGGATGGCTCAGTTGGTTAAGCGGCAGACTTGTTTTCAGCTGAGGTCATGATCCCATGTGCTGGGATGGAGCCCTCTGTCAGGCTCCCTGCTCAGCGTGGAGTCTGCTTCAGGATTCTCTCTCTCCCGTTGCCCCTCCCCAACTTGTGCACTCTCTTTCTCTAAAATAAGTAAATCTCTTTAGAAAAACTTAGAAGACACTCGTCAATGCAGTTAGCTCCTACCTTTTTGGTGTGACAAATAAACACCGTGTGCACCCTATCTACACCACACACCACCTAAAAGCCTAGCCTCCCCTAACTCCCTGAGACCTCAGGTCACAAACGCCCTCTCTGAATCCCTTGGTCCATTTCCCTAGTGTCATATTATTGTCATCCTTTCACCCTGTTCCCAAGGATAATGACAAGGACTCATGACAATAAGGGCACTTATCTGTATTAAGAGCATTAACAAAAGACTCTAAGGTACAGCCCCAGCAGGACAGAGTGTGAAGAAACTGTGGGCCAAAGACCATGCACTTCTGGCTCACGATGACAGCTCTGCTCGTCCCAGCGGGATTCAAACCCAGGGAGCCTGGTTCCTCTCACCACTGTATCTCTCCAGGAGCTCGAGTTGAACAGACCTGGGCATTTCTTATACTGGTCAGAGCCACCTTGCCAGATTTATGGCACAGGGAGCGTGTCAGCAACTTTCCACGTCTTCCCTTGGTGGCTCCCTCTCTTCCCTCCAGCCTGAGGTCTCTTCTCTTCTTGGGTGGTCTCACTTAACCCCAGGGGCTTGGAGGCCAGGCTCATGCTAGCCTGAGAATAAAGCAGGGAAGGTGCTTTTGGCCAGGTGGGAAGGAGAGAGAGGCTGGAAAGGGCTGCCACCCAGAAGGGGGTTCAAGGGGCTGAAGGGTTTGATGCAGGTGAATGGCAGGTGTGTGAAGAGGAGGGTAGGAAGGTAGGAGGAAGATAAATCAGTAAGTGGAAGGAAGGGAGGGAGGGAGGGGGAGAGAGAGAGAAAGAGAAAGAAAAAAAGAAAAGAAAAGAGAAGAGACAAAGAAAGAGAGAGAGACCTGGGCTCTCAGAACGTAAGTCTGGGGCTGTGAAGCACTTCAGGGAACCCAGCAGGCAGAGTGCAGGAAATGAGCGCTGTTCATCTGAAGACACTCAAACACTCTCCAAACACTTCATATAATAGAACTACTGGAGGAAACGGCTCCATTTGGAGATGACAAGTAAGAGAAGGAAGAAATGTACAAGCACCATAACATTCCTTTGATTTAAAAGCCCCTGCAAATCTGCAGTAATCATCCCGGCTCTGAGATAAACACACAACCCCCCGGAGGACCTCAGTTCACCCTCCCACACCTGTTGAAAGTCACTTTGCTGGAAAGGACTACCGGCTCCCCCAACACCACATGATACACACTGCTGGGCTGCTTCTGACTCTAGCTCAGCGAGATCCTTGCCCCTACACTTATTTAGGGTTTCCCATTCATCCACTTTCTGAATGGATTCCACACCACGGGGCGGGGGGTATGTACGGGGGCGGGGGGTGGGGACGGATCAAAAGGCAAGAATTCAACAGGAAAGTTGATGAAGAAGGACCCTCAGGTTAAGTGCTCACTTGATAATCTGCATGCTTACTGGGAACTGACTGGCTCACAAAAGGAAACACTGGAGGCCTAATCCTTTGTAACACCCAAGGAGTTCAATTTGGTCCTTTTTCTCTAATAGCAACCCAAAGTGGGAGGAACAAGGGGTAGAGGGGTGAGTTTTCACTAAAAGGCTGGTTGTTCTAAAGTAGTTTATGGCAACTTTAAAAAAATTTTGCAATTAAAAAATCCCCAAATCGATGTTTGTTTTTTTTCCAAAATGTTTTGTTTCAGGCATGATATACACATATTTTAAATTTTCACCCTATATTCCTTTGGAAATTATTTCAGATAAAAATGATAATTTGAAACAATAAAGTGTTGATTTTTTTTATAATGACAAAATATTTGAAAAGGAAAACTAAGTGCTTAAACTCAAGAAAGCTTCTAATGAAAAAAAGAAAAAAATGAAAAAATGTTTAATTTACTAGAGTGAATGTATTTGCAGAGAAAAAAGGGAAATTTGTTTTGCTGCCAACAAAGAGGTCTAGATAAACTCAGTAGAGCAGAAAATTGCATCCAAGCTAAGATGTAAGTCTGAGACACTTGACTGCATTAAGTATTTTTTTGGGGAAAATCACAAACATTCAGCAAAAAGCACTGCTCATATCTAATTAAGCTAAAGGGACACTGTCAACTAATTTCTCATTACCTTAAAACTTTTCTCTCAAAATATTTTCGCTTAAGATTAATTTCTCTCCCAGATCTGTCCTCCTTTCCTGTTTCCTATTTGTGTCTAAAGGATTCTGTTACTTCCCACCTACCACCCCCCACTCTCCACTTGAGAACGTTTCATTTTGCAAATAAAAACTGTAAGCCTGAATAAACCTTTAAATTGTTATTTGGGCATTACAATCTCTCCCTATTCCAACCATTTCCATTTAGCAGAATCTTTTCAGCTTGAACGAAGCATCTGCGTGCCTCAGTTGTGTTAACAGTATTGTTTCAGGAAGATTCTTGCTTTGTACTAGATGCAGAGTGGACGAGGAGTGGAGGAGTGGCGGAGTGGCGAGCTCACAGCCTCTCAGTGATTTGGCAAGCTCTGCCTGTTCTGGAGAGAGGCTGAGGAGGGAATACAGGCGTCTTTGCCAGTGGGTGCAGCGATGGGGTCGGGGTGGGCTGGGAGGAGAATGGCCGGGCCATCCAGCAATCCGGTTCCCAGGCAGCCCATTTCCAGAATCATATGTAGGAGTTTAGTCATTGGGGCCAGACCCAGCAGAAATTACAAGCCTCTGAAGGGCGAAGGCTACATAAAAAAGTCCTCCTATAAAACACCTTGGAAAGAATTAAAATATGGCCAAAAAAAAAAAAAAAAAAAAGACCAAATCCCTTTTTCCTGGAAAGCACATAGGTAGGGTATATACTGGATATTAGTAGCACAGGCCAGATTCAAAAAACTTCCTTTGAATGAACCCTCTTGGTTTGAAAGAGACTACTGAGATCTCACTAGCGAATTTAACTAACGTGTTTCGGGATGAATTCTTTGGGGCTCTTCAGAAGAGAAGTCAGCAGACCAGCTTGCAGCTGTCACATACTCCCCCGAATGCCACTCCTGGAAAGACAGCACCTTCTCCCCGAGTCACAGACTTTACTGCCAGGGGGTTGACTATAGGTACTTCTCACACAGCGGCAGCCTGGCCGTTAGCTCTCCGAAATTTAAGCTGCAAACTCGGAGTGTGATCTCTCTCTGGGTTTTTTCTCCCAGCCTGGCTGAAGTAAGTGGATGGTCAACTCCAAGAAAGTAAGCCTGCACTTGGAAGCAGAGCAAAATAAAAACACAGGTGTCCAGTGCCAAGTTCTGTGAGTCAGGTGAAAATGCTTTGGTATCTCTCTGAAACAATTACGTATTTCAGTTACCTCAGAAATAACTGAGCACTTGCAAACCCATCTCAAGCAAACACAGTTAGGTCTGAACGTCAAAATTACTCTAAAGAAATAGACCGAGAGTCTCTCTCTTGCTTTTTTTTTTGGGGGGGGGGCCCTGTACAGTTAGAGGGATACATTTCTGCCGATGGAATTGGATGGCATAAAGGAAAGACAATTGTTACCTTTAAGCAACAGGGGCATGAATGGGATTTTGGGTGGTTTCATCTTTTTGAATGCATCTCTGTAGGCTTTGTGATTCAGGGAAGGATCCTGCCAAACCAAGCAGATTACAAAGAGAAAGAAAAATCAATGTGCTATAGAAACAATTCTAAATCCACTTTTGCTATACAATTTGAACATGATTTAGATATCGAGAGGTTCTTCTTCAGAACAAAGTAGATAAAGGTTTCCTAGGAGAATAAACTCACTAAATTAGGGCAGGAAATGTAGGCAATGAATAAAAGTCAACTTATTGGTTTACAATAATGGAAAATGACTGCAAAAAAGAGGCACCTTTTGATTGCCTTATTATTTTCCTCAAATAGGTTCTTTAAGCACAGTTTCCTCTGCATAATTTCTATCACGAGGTAACCCCAAAGTCTTTTGTTAGGTACACTGCAAAGAAAAATCTCCCTCATAACGCACGGACAATGCACAGAAAATAAGAGAACGCTGTTTTCTTGTGTTCTGAAAAGCAACTAGACATTTAAAAAAATTTAAACCTTAGAAATGGTACGAAGGAGAAAAAGGAAAAAAGAATCATGCATAAGACACTGCACATTCCATTTATACCAATTAATTTTGTAGACGTTGAAATAGACTATATACTTAAAAATCTGCATTCTGGAAATCACGTCAAAAGGACCATTCTCACTACCTTTCTCCATGGAGACGAAGAAGCATTAACTGTCAACTTCTTCCCTCTGTAGGAAGGAAAGCTACAGTTTCAGGTACGAGTGATCTAGTCTAAGCTACCAGACATGGTAGAGGGTCATGAACAAGGCAATCTAGACAGAAATTCGGCACTATCAATTAATTTGAAGAGTAAGTCCTGTTTGGCTCACTACTTACTGTTAAACTTTCAAGTTCAGAGAAAAGTTTCTTAAACTTCCCAGGGATTTTCTAAAATCAAACAAACAAAATACAAAAAAGAAAAGGTCAAAGAGTGTTACTTTCAGAGGAACCAAGGGGGGAACGTTTATTAAGCTAAACTTCCACATGTCATGGATCTGAACACAAACACCTCTATCACCTGGTTTACCCTGACTGCTTCTCACCACACAATCTTCATCATTCCTTAATGTGACACTCCTTGGGAATGTTGCTAAAAACAATTTAAAATAGGTAATGGCTACGTGAATCAGGAATCTAGCTGATTAGACATTCCACACGCTGGTGATTTTTTAATACAGACTAGGATTTCTGTTCCATATCCCGCCTTTGGCGAATGCTCTTGTCATCTTGCGTCGTCTTGCTGAGTGGGAAATAGTAATATTGGCTAGCATTTTTTGTTTAAATGATCTAACTGCATTTCACAGCAGAGGGCTAAATGGTGAAAGGCCATAAAAACCCTAACTGACACAGCCTGCCCGCCAATGGGTAGGATAGCTGAGCTGTGAAAATCACCCCCACCAGCAGGTGGCATGGGAAGTCACAGAGGGTGGAAACACAGGCTCTCCAGGGTAGTCAGTGGGTCTGAATTTGAATTCCCATGTTGCCCCGTTCCAGCTGGGTGGTTTGGGGTGAGTTTCCACTTGCCCTCCTGGGGTCCAGCCTGAACTGGTCCCGGATCTCCTTCATCACCACATCCTCTGTTCTAATTGGTCCAGCCCATTCTGGATCTGCCATGGGACAGATGTTCAGGGCCCTGCCCATAGGAGGCCATCTACATGCCCACGAAATGCACACTATTTGAATTGAATTGAATTCTTTCTCCTCTCAATTTCTACACATTGAGGCTTCTTTCCAGGTTTAATTCAAATTCCATGCCCCTCCGACCCTGGCCGGCCATTTAATTTCCCTCCAGCTCTGATGAACTGTGGCATCGCTGTCCACCTCCATTCACCTTACAGTGCACACGCATGTCTTGTTTGCTTAACCGGGGCAAGCAGGCCTTTCTTTTCTTTTCTTTGGCACCCCTCTAAGGAGCACTGACCCCAACCCTCAGGTCACCACCGTGCTTCCCAGTGGAGAATGGCCCCTGATGCAAAGAAAGTGAAACCCTAGCACACTGCTCAGAGCCCTGTGCTGACATCTCACGTCAGAAAAAAGAGAGTTGGCCTATCTTGCAGGAGTGAGAATCGGGAACCATGGAGAGAATGGAGTAGTGACAGGAAGTGAGGCTGAGGGGACTGGAGAGAAGCTAAGAATGCGTGAGCCACATGCAGGTCAGGGCCATCAGGGGGCAGGCTTGATGGTGAAAGAGCAGGGCTGAGGGAGAGAAATGGGGCACGCAGTGAGGTAGCCAGTCAATAGGAACAAAGAGAGACAAACAGAAGCCCAAAGAAAGAAGGTGATGAGGCCAGGGGAAGGGCCAGAGCCCTCTTTCCTGTGTCTGGCCACACTCAGGGACGCCCCAGTTTCAGCTCTTCCCACATAGGCCCTTAGAGTCCATGTCCCAGAATTTGAGCTGACTTGAGTGGGCCTCTCCATCTGAGAACGCAGGCAGCCTTCCCCAAGCAACAGGGACACAGGCAGAGCCCAGACTGGGGAGGGGTGAAAGTTAACACTCTGTGGGCCTTTTTAAAAAAAAAAAAAAGAATACAAAACTACTGTACTTCTGCAAATTTTACAGAGATATACATCATCCACATGAACACACTGCTGGGGGCTGCGGGGCCTGCAAGAGAGAGGCCTGGAAGCTTACATCCATTAGCATCTCAGCAAATCTGCTTCTGGACACCTGTCACCACTTCTGAAAGGACCAGCATGGGACTGGAACCACACAACCATGGCAGCAAAGCAGAAAACGAGCTGTGGAGCATTTTACAATTTTTATCTCCTTCATATATATATGTTCTCTGTATGAAAATATGTATTTCATGTATTGGATTTTATATAAATAATAGAGCCATTCTGAAGACCACTTGATTAAAACAGTCCAACCTGACACATGGATTTTTAACTTTTTCTTTCCTAGTAGTACTTACCTCATTTAAAAAATGCAAATAAATTTATTTTGAAGAACGGCTTTTCGCTGGAACATTTCCCATTCAGCTTTCTTTCTCCCTAGCCCCCACCCCTTTCCATGTAGACCCCCAAGGCTCACCTCCCAGGTCTGCGACAACCGGCTCACAGAAGCAGTGTTGAGACCCATCACGATAGCAAAGAAAGAATTCAGGTTTCTCTGGGCTTTGCAGCTATGGAATAAAGAAAGCACAAGGTACTTGGAGCAACATCCTTTTGCCAGATGGCTTCAAAAGATAAAGACGCAAAGGCTCTCCTAGGCCACAGAGTTCAACGTCCAGGGTGGCGTGGGACTCCAAGACCAACACACACTGAATGCCTTGTGTGTGTGTGGTGGTGTGGGGGGGCTTGCCAGTGTCCCTTCTGCTGCTCCTCACCAGGTGACAGATTCCAAACACTCCAGCTCATTTTTCCCTCTAGGAAAAGATTGTGCTCTGACACCCTCTGGACACCTCAAAAGATTCCTCCTTTTAAAAATCTATTTTAGGGGTGCCTGGGTGGCTCAGTAGGTTAAGCGTCTGTCTGCCTTTGGCTCAGGTCATGATCCTGGGGTCCTGGGATCCAGTCCCGCATTGGGCTCCCTACTCAGCGGGGAGCCTGCTTCTCTCTCTGCCTCTGCCTGCCACTCCCCCTGCTTGTGCCCTCTCTCTCTCTCTGACAAATAAATAAATAAAATATTTTTTAAAAATTAATAAAAAATCTATTTTGGATGATGCATCTACAATTTCAACCGAAAACTCTTGAATTCATGTTTCTTTTTATATAGCATATTCTTTTTTTAATACAGATTTTATTTATTTATTTGGGGGGGAGAGAGAGAGATAACGAGAAGGGGGAGGGTCAGAGGGAGAAGCAGACTCCCTGCTGAGCAGGGAGCCCCTGATGTGGGACTCAATCCTGGGACTCCAGGATGACCTGAGCTGAAGGCACTTATCCAACTGACCCACCCAGGAGCCCTAGCAATAATAATAGTAATAATAATAATAGCTCTCTTGTCCCATCTCTCTGAACCCAAGATGCTGTCATTACACTTTGACAGACAAGCCCCTCTCCCCTCACTGGTTCAAGCTGCCCCTCCCTCAACATTCAGATGCATTTTCTTCGCTATCCGCCATACGGACACTGTCCTATGGATCTATGTAAAATATGGCATGTGTTGTGGGGATCCCGTCCCACGTTTCTCATTTAGAGGAGAAAGGAGGAAATAAAACGCAAAATAAAATCACATTGAGCTCCATTCACTCTGTGAGATTATCTGTTCTGCATTACGTCAGTCATGCCCTTCAATCTAATCGGTCAAAAGTCCACTGGTTTTCAAAGCCTGCGGAGGCGCCTTGGCCTCCCAGGTCAGTCAGGGCAGCCTGTGGGTTCCAGACACTCCTTTATCTGCAGTGTTTAAAAAAAAAAAACTACTCTGATAGAGTGTGTATTATGAATTCTCCACTACCATCATAAATGGCTGTACAACTTCATCAAAAATGTTTCATGATTTGTTTACTTATTCCCCTATTGTTAACATTCAGGGTATTCTCAATTCAATACAGAAGGCTACAAAGAGTATCTTCGTGCATAAAACTTTTTAACTGGATTTGTGGTTCTTTTAATTAAAATTCAGTCATTCATGACATGATTGGTCCAAAGCTATCTCGATGTTAAATGTTCTCGACACATACTGAAAACTGTCCCCCGAAATGGTGCGGCCTCCCGGTGGCACAGGCTGTAGGGGAAAGTATCTAGTTCAGAAACAAGAGAACAGATAGGGCTGTTTCCAGGTCACACACACACTTGGCTGTGCCTGGCAGGTCCTCCCTACACGGCTACTCCCAGGGCCAGCCTTGGGGGCAGCACACTGCCCAAGGACAGCTGCGCCTGGGCACCAGGGCAGACAAGGCCCCACCAGGGAGCATGTGGCTAGCTCTATCCCCACCAATAGTGGAATGTGCAAAGGCACTGCTGCCTCCACACTGAGGGTCCGAAGCATCTGGGCCAGACACCGTCCCACAGGCCCCTCACTGTGGAGCCTCCACGGTCATGGGCTGTGCCCCTCGGAGTCTTCCTTGCCCGGCATCTGGCCCTGTCTGCAGCTTGAGGGTCGGTGAGGGGACCTGAAACTCAGTCTAACTGGCCCCTTTATCTGCTTTCTACCAACTTGCTCCTGGTGGACACTGCTTGGTATGTTTCTCCGGGTCAATGATTTAGAAAATCCACTGTTTTTGTATATTATCGGTGACCAAAGGCATCTATTACCTGGACTCTGCTTCCCTTTCTGTCTCCTCACCCCCCCTGGAAGGTTCATACCAGCCAGAACAGACGTGAGGCATCTCTAAGGCTTGGTGTGCTGATGGGAGGTTCCTCTGTGGAGAGGCTCCTGTGGTCGGGGAGAACAATCCTGCCCCTAGGCCACAAGCACCTCTGTGGGAGGCTCTCTCTGACTCCCAGGTCCTCCCACTTACTACAGGACGGAAGCCCGGTGGTCCTGTGATTCTTCACGAGACATTAGGTTCCTCACAGCTAGAGGATATATCCATTCATTTTTATATTCTGCCCATCACCCAAATACCCAATATACAGCAAGCCTTTCGGACAGCATTTGCTGGAGTTGAAAACAAGACTTTTGGGGGATATGGTTTTATTAATATTCATTTTAAAAAGGTTTATTACACCTCTTTTTATTTGGTATCATTTATCTGTCTGGAATCTCAGATAGAATTCTCATCTTTTTATCTTTAAGAATCCATAAACAATTTTCCTAACCCAGACCTCTTTTGTAGTCATACTTACAAAAAAAAAAAAAAAAAAAAAAAGCACATATAACTAACATCTGAACCTATAAAAAGAACAAATGCTTTCTCTAGAAGACAAATTGATAGAGTACAAATACTGGATACCAATCTGGTCTGGAATCCTTTGTTACCAAGGTTCATTCATTCCATGATAAGCCACTGAAACATTCCGGTTTAGCAAACACTCCTTTGTCTGTGTGAGGAAATAAACTCCACTCAATCCACAGAGGTGGGGGGTGGGGAGGGCGAGAAGGAAGGAAACATGAATATGCAAATAGATGCCTTAGGCAGGGGAGACACTTCATGATCATGGAAATTACTGTTTTCCCTTGGTTATTCCTACTAGTGTGATTATGAGGAATTTAACTTTATGTTTCTGTTGGCATTCTACTCCATGGGCTAGGGATAGAGAGACCAGTACAGTAAATAATTCAAGAGCATGGGGCCATATGGAGAAGATGTGAATATATTTCATTTCCCTGAGGATAGATATAATCTTATACTGGAACTAAGCTGTGTGGGGTCATTTTACTCCTTGGGACATTAATGTCCCATTTCTCCAAGTTACTGGCATTTATAAGAAAGCTTTTGATCCAAAAGCTTTATGAATTTCACAGGCCATTTGGAATGCACTGGCCAAATTGAGAAGAAGAAGAAGAAGAAGAAGAAGAAGAAGAAGAAGAAGAAGAAGAAGAAGGAGAAGAAGAAGAAAGGAATATTCACCATAAAAACTATCCAAGATTTAGGAATATCTGCCGAATCTCTTGCCTTCCATTCCCAGTCGCACCAAACACCAGGTTGGGTACTTCTGTTATCTCTTGCTAGGTAAACGACATGCCCTGCATCTGGGGGTCTTTTTGCCTGCAGTTCAGTCTATGTGCTACCTTCCCATCAATATTCCTAAGGACAGCTCTGATCCTTACAGTCCCCTGCACAAAAAAGGCAATGAATCCCTAGCTCCTCAGTTCAGCCTAAGCTCTTTGATCTGAAATGCACCATCCTTCACCATTTGGTTTTATCTTCCTTTGCAGATCAATCTCCCACCGCTTCTGTACAAAGAACACTCCATTCTGGTGAAAGCAGATGAGGTCCCTTTCCCTGACTGTATGCTGCCTGCCTCCTCCTCCCGTGAGGTTCACCTCCATGGGCAGTACGTAATTCCGAACTCTTATCTGTCCAGTTCCCCCCAGAATTCAAATACAGCCTTGAATGCTACGTCCTTCACAAATGTTCTTGCATCCTCCTTTTCCACATCGTTGGCATACGAGCTTTACCCCCTCCAAAGCCCCAGGAGAATTCAATCTCAGAATAAGGTACCCCCCCCCATTCTATTTTGCACGTTAGCCATCTGAGTTATCACAGTATCCCCTCCAGCAGGTTGCAAAGTCCTCAAAGGCATGGATTGGGCGTAGGGTTGGTCTGGTTTTCCCATGGAAACCCATGGTTCCCTGCAAGGATCCGTACAAGTAATGAGTGATTATTCACAGTTTCCTGAACGTGTTACACTGATGCACACTCCAAAACTGTTTGACGTAGAAACTACTTGGGAAGACAAAGGAGAAATAAAATGGGTAATAGCAGGAACTGGGAAAGATTCTGATTCCTGCTGCCTGCTTCCGTTGGGAGGCTGTCCCAAGAGCCCTCTCAGGATACTAATCTGGCATTTTAAGGGAAGCTCTCAGCAAGTTACTAAAATGTCATTCAACTACTGCTATTTAAGTTCTGCATCAGGCGTATCAGGTACAATGTTTGATTAGTAATGGCCCCTGTCCTCTGGAGGCTAACACAGGCAAGGGAAGGGATTCTATATAAACAGAGAAGTTTAATAAATGTAATAAAAGAAAAAGTTAAAAGGGAATAAGCATGTGTGTGAGGGAGCATGGGGGTAGGGAGTAGTTAACCCTGCATCCGAAAATCAGAGAGGGCTTCAAGAAGGAAGCAACTTTTGACCTCGGTCTTAAAGAAGGACAGCAATCTGCAAGGTGGAAGTGGTCATTTCGGCAGAGCCAATAACGCTGTGTGCAGGCCTGGAGAACGGCGTGCCCTGGACAGACAGCCATTAGGAGCGGCTGCGACATGGAGCGCGCCCAGAGGGTGAGGCTCCGAGGTCAGGTGGGACCAGCCAGAGCTGAGCCTGCAGAGGAGTTTGCAAAGTCCACACAGTGGGCATCAAGCAGCCAAGAACAGGATCCTAGAATACACCCAATTTGCAAGGATTCTCCCCCCTCACGTTATCTTCCCAGTCTTCCCTGCCTGCTGTAGCTCCCCAGGTACACCACAGGTCAGCTTTGGGACGGAGCATGTGCGTGCTGGCTGCTCACTCATTCCGCAGCACAGAGCAGAGGGCCCGAGTCTGGTATTGACACTGACAGCAAAGTGTAACCCCCTCACATGCAAAGACATAAATATTCTGGGACAGACCTTTTCAATCATTTGGTCACTTCACTCTGTATTTTACTTTTACCTCCTAACCCCTCTTATCATCCCAAAGGGAAAAAAATGGACTCTCTCAAGGAGACCAGAAGAACCGCACTAGTCACCATTGGAAACTCACTGTGCAGCGATTTTGATGAATTTTTTCAGCAGCTGCACTCGCTTGGCCAGCTGGCTGCAAAGCAGGACCTCCGTGGCCACCCAGAGCTGGACTTCATTGCATCTCTGCAGGAGAAGGCTGAGGTTCGCCGTGTGCTCCCCACTGCCTTGTCGGCCAAATGTGAAGTAGATCAGCTCTTGCTGCAGGAAGACAGATGTACATCAGCATTTATTTTTAGCAGAGACAAGCTAATACAAAAGTCAGTCCATGGTTAAGAGCTGCCTCAGGTGGCCACTCTCATCATGTGTCATGAGAACATAACAACAGATCCAACTGGAAGCAATGCAGGGTTAGAGACGCCTTGTGAAATAATGTTCACTTAGAATCCTCACAAAAAGTGTTATTTTTAGAATGTGCAGATAACACAGTTTTACATGAAACTCTAAGAAGTTCTGAAGTTTAAATCACAAGCTGAATCAAATCCAAACTTCCTGAACTTGGTGTACTGGGAAAAGCAAGTGGAAATGATTGTCACTAGTACAGGTAGGTTCTCTCCACGAGGGTTCTCTGATTGTAGAATGAATCAGGATCACCTGGAGGCCTGTTACAGCCGCTCTCTGGGCCCCAACCCCTGAATTTTCTCCTTCGATAGGTCTGTGGTGGGACCCCAAACCCGTGTCTATAACAAGCCCCCAGGTGGTGCTGCTGATGCTGGTCTGGGTACCCGCTTTTTGAGAACCACTGATAAAAGAGTAAAATCATGAACAGAAAGACAGTGAGATCAGGGTAAGGTCCAAAATTTACAAAATGGAGCAAGACCAGCCACTCTTTATCCAGACTGATCATAGGCAGAGCGACAGAAGGGATGTGTTTTTAAATGAAAGGGTGTGTGCATTTCACAGGAGGGGTCCCCCACTCCCCTGAGAAAGCAGTACAAGCAGTGACACAGCCTGCTCCAGTCACATCTCGTAAGACGCACATCATTTAGCTTGAAGGAGTTCACCACTTGCTTGGATTTAGATTATAATGTGGGCATTTTTCTGAGGAGGACATTTTAAACTGAAAGGAGAACTCAAGCCTCCAAGTTGGGCACGAGTTTCTTCAGAAGGAAAGGCTGTTTGTAATGAAAAATGTCACTACATGGCAAAGCAAAGGCAACACACGGTTGCACAGAAAGGTCTCATTTTTCATCTCCCGATTCCTGTGAGCCCTTCCACTGGCTACATTTACTCCTTAATTGTCAGTAGCATTTTGCCCCTACTCTATCATTTTATAAATGTTTAAGCTGTCTTCAAAGGGAGGGGTGATGGACATAAAGATCTGAATTCTATCTCCAAAGTTTCAAGAAAGTACTTTAAGTCTTGCAGGACAGTCTAAATGTTTAGAATGTTCTAGAGGAAAAGAATGTCTATATGTGTACATGCATAAATACGATTCTGTACAAAACCATGAACTTTATGGAAAAAAATTAAAGTATCAATATCAAAGTTGTCAAATGTAAAATGGCTTTTCAATTCCATTATATCTTCATAATTATGCAAATGCATAAGTATTCAAACATATAAAAATATAGCACTTTTATACTACAGTACACATATGATTATATTAGGAGCACATAAAACATGATCATGTATCTGACTTTCCTAGTTTTGTATTTAATGTATCTAAAGTCCCCAAATATCTTTTGGGCTATGGCATCCTAAGCAGAACTACAGCACGAGATGATGGATCTTCTTAAAACTGAGTCACATACAAATACTCTTTTAAAAAAGTACAAAGTTAGGGGCGGCTGGGTGGCTCAGTCACTGAGTATCTGCCTTCAGCTCGGGTCATAATCCTGGGGTCCTGGGATCCAGCCCTGCATCAGGCTCCCTGCTCAGTGGGGAGCCTGCTTCTCCCTCTCCCACTCCCCCTGCTTGTGTTCCCTCTCTCACTCTCTCTCTCTGTCAAATAAATAAAATTTTAACTATCTCAACTATGATTTAATCTATTTTAAAAAAAGAATGCAAAGTTAAAATAGCACTAGCATTTATTTTTATCTTTTCACTCCTTACTTACCTCGTGAATTGAATTGAAGAGACTCCAATCAAAATTCATTAATTCCAGAGCAAGATCCCAAGTGTTCATTCCCAAAATCCTCATCGACCTTTGCTGTGATTCCTCATTTTCTGCAAATGGGTTCTAAATCAACAGACAGAAGCAAAAGGATCCTCAGTAATTCCCAAATGTTTGGCACTGAACTGGCTGACCACAGAAAGCCACTAGAAGCCCAGATTAGGGAAGTAATCTTGTCTGAGTGCACTTAATATTTTTCCTGGTTTGTTCATCTTTGGTGAGTTACAACCAATTTGGGAAACAGCCTTGGAAATGGTAGAATGTGATCAATGATACTTCAATGAGTTAGGCTGCCCCTCCCCCCACCACACGTGCATGCATCCACAGATCTGATTATAAAACACTGCCCCAGCAGACAGCGTAATGAAAGCGAAAGCCCTGAAATCACTTTGGCTTCTGGTAAGAATTAGTGTGCCAGCAGGTTAGTATAAAAACAAACAAAAGAAATGTCATGGTGCACTTCAATAAAGACAGACATGGTTTTCACAGGAAATACATTTAACGAGCCTCGTCCCAGACACACACTTACAAATTTTATTAAAATGCCTGTGGGAAGTGATAAAAATTTAAACAAGAAATAAAAAATAAAAGTTACTTCATTTATGCCCCATGGTGGATGATTATTTCAAGTATCTGTTGCTTTACCTATACAAAGAGGTACGAGTCTGGTAATGGCACTTCCTTAAATTCTACCAAAACTTTAAATATTTTGTCACTGTTAAATTTATTAAAAATTATCTGGCATCTTTTCAAAATATTTGATATTTTCTAATTAAAGTACAAATTCTCCAAGGGCATCTGGCTGGCTCAGTCAGTAGAGCACATGGTATGGGGTTGTGAGTTTGAGCTGATGCTGGCTAAGCATTTACTTGAAAAAAAATTCTCCCATTTGAAGGATTGGATTTGAGTAGTTAATGATATTAAAATTATTAATAACTTGGAGAAAAAAATGGGACTTTGCAAAAATAAATGACATGACAGGATGAAGAGGTTCCAAATATTAATTCCTCTTTTGTTGTTTTTTTGTTTGTTTAAAATATTTTATTTATTTATTTGACAGAGAGAGACCCAGTGAGAGAGGGAACACAAGCAGGGGAAGTGGGAGTGGGAGAAGCAGGCTTCCTGCTGAGCAGGGAGCCCAATGCCAGGCTAGATCCTAGGACCCTGGGATCATGACCTGAGCCAAAGGCAGATGCTTAATGACTGAGCCACCCAGGTGCCCCCAATTCCTCTTTCAAAACTGTAAAATTATTAGCATTTCACAATGTTATGAAAAGGTTTCCTAACTTGAAGAAGAAAAACAAAAAACAAAAAACAAATGACAAAAGACCTTCCCAGAGCTTCTCCACAGACTTTTTCAGTGCAGGTCAAGGTACAAATTGTCCCTGTAGCCCTGGGTGGGACACAAGTGGGAGCTCAATGAGGGCCGACTGAAATAATGCATGTGCAAATACTGAGTGGGGTTGGGGGGAAGGAAAGCTCACGTTTCTTGCGGCCTGATTAGTCTGGAACCAGACAGGTGCCACACTACTCTGCAGGCATTCAGCAGGAGAGCCAAGAGCTGGGAGGATGGACATAAATCTCTGCATACTAATTTGGAGATGTAAGGATATTTTCAGTTGGCTTTTTACCCTTCCTGCTTTTTCTCCCTAAATGCACCCCTTGCCCTGGTACTGCCTTCTGGGTATCCAAGGCTGTCTATGGCCCTCTCCAACAAACCTTTCTATTTTTCTACCCTTTCATTCAGGGCTCTAACTCCTGCCTTCTGAGAAGAGCAACTCATCTATACGTAAGTGGAATGGGGGCTAGTGGCTCCCCACGTTATCTCTCCTGCCTTACAATGTTCCATTTCAACTGCAATCTTTTGGAGATAAAACGCTGAAAGCTAGGACTCCAACAGGGAACTCTCAGGCAGCATGGAGAGCTGGTGGTGGAAACACTTGAGGGCAGGATGGCACCTGGCTCATCCGGGAACATACTTCAGAGCCCCCATGTCCTGCACCAGGACATTGCTCAGGCCTGCCTTCTGCTCTTCTGAAGCTGGTCCTGGTTGGTGGTCGGAGAGCATTAGGGGCGTGCGCAGCAGGGAACTGCAAAGAAGTCTGTGGGTAGCATGAGGAAGCAGGGCATGGAAGACAAGAGTGTGAATCTCCACCATCACCCAGAAGTTCCAAGGAAGCCAGAGGGTAGATTGTCCTCCTCCCTAGGGAGGGTTAAAGCCAAGCCAGTCTCACTGTCTATTCAAGGATGCTGGGTGCTAACAGTTCACTGATGGAATTACATCATGCACAGACACGGGACCTGTGACCTGCTGAAGGACACTCCAAAGCAGAGAGGCTTGAGTCAGACAGGTTTCCCTCTGCTTTGCCCCCTCATCACATACAAATGAAGGGAATGTGCAAGACCTTCTGAGGCCAATAATACTGGAGTCCTAGCCTGGAGTCCTAGCTATTCCCCTTCCTTGGCTGCTGGAAGCTACAGTAAGGGGCTCTGCCTCTCTGAACTTCACAGGGTCACTGGGAATGTTAAATGAGATACTGTAGGTAAATTACCCAGCACCTAAGTGGTAGTAAGTGCCAAAAGTGACAAAGATTAGTATTCTGGTAGGCTGATACATGTAGATGATTTTACATAAAATATTTTTATCATAAGCAATTTTGGTTAACCCATGTGGTATATACATTCCTCAATTATAAACACAACAGGAGTCGCCTAGAAAGAACCATGTCAGTGACGGCTCCATGAAACAGACTAGGACCGTGTCTCTAGAGGATACCATCACCATCTGGCAGGGCCTGCTCTTTACGGATATGGGTCTGAGGCCTGATCCTCAGGCAGAAAGCAACCACAAGGCTGAGGTTTTTAGGAAGGTAATAATGACAAGTCATCTGCTTAGGCGTAAATGTTCTTACACTTAAAATGAAAGTAACTTACAGCACGGATTCTACATTTCTTCCAACTCTTACTCCTCACCAGCATCCCGTACACCATTGTTATGAGCTGATCTTACACGGGGAAGGCTGATAAATGTCCCTTTCTTCCAGTGAATGGTACACTCAAAGTGCGCCAGAGAGATGGAAACAATACAGAGTCTCTCTCCCCCTAAATTTGTACAGGGTACGTTTCTCAGCCTGATCGCCTCATAGCTACCAAAAAAGAAGGAATGGAATTAAGATTAATGGGGAGGGGGGTCACTTCTCTCACATCCCCTATGTCAGAGGCCCGAGAGAAGCAGGCTTTGACTTAGGAAGGCTTAGGATTCCTCAAGGTGTACCTGTCTTTGATTTTCAAAGGCAGTGTTGTTTGCCAGGTGTATTGCTGGCTAGAGGAGGAAGTAGTTTGATGTGTTTTTCTAACATTTATTATAAAACATACAAAAATATGACTTTAGTCTGTCATCTGTGTTTCAAGTAAAGGCTGAAAGTCCTCACCAAGGTGTCAGCTAGGTCTTTTCGGTAGACATATATCCGACCCGATGCTTCAAGGGATTTGGAGCTGGCCAAGTCATTGGGCTGAAGTTCATGCTTTTCTTTATTAAAAAAAATAAAAAAAGTAATTAGAAACACGAGAACAGTGGTAGGCATGCACAGTATACCTAAAGAGTGAAAATTGCCAAAGACAAATATTTAAAAGCAAATAGAATGCAGATTTAATTCAGATCTGCATACTCTGTTCAATGGCACCAATGGTACCATGGACATCACTGCTCAATATCCACAGAGTGGAAGGCTTTTGCAATTCCTTCTTGTAATATTTAGTCATTTTTTAGAACACAGAACAGTTTAGAGAAAAAAGTAGAAGTCACTCATAATCCCATCACTTGGGGTTGCCCAGGTGGCTCAGTAGGTTAAGAGTCTGCCTTTGGCTCAGGTAATGATCCCAGGGTCCTGGGATCAAGCCCTATGCTGGGCTCCTTGCTCAGCGGGGAACCTGCGTCTCCCTCTCTCTCTGTCTGCCACTTCCCCTGCTTGCATTCTCTCTCTCTCTCTGTCAAATAAATAAATAAAATCTTAAAAAAAAAAAATCCCATCACTCTCAGATAACCATAGGATGGTAATGTTGGTAATATTTGGGTATGTTTTTATTCTGCTCTTGATGTTAATATGTGTAAATGACATCCACACCTACAACATATAATTGCAATTACTTACACATATGCATTCATAATTAGTATGGATACCTACATATACATTTGTAGTTATTCCATATGTGGTTTTATATTCTGATTTTATTATAAGCACTTATCCACTTGTCAAAATTAACTATGTATATCATGTTTAACTGGTTACATAACAGTCCATTATACCATCATGTAATCTTTTCTCTATTGCTGACCAGTTTAATAGTTTCCAATGTTTTTGTCATATTAATTAGATGGAAAAATATATGCAAATACTAGCACAGGGTCTGGTACTTAATAGGGGCTTGATAAATGGGATCTATTATTATAGCAGCCGTAATATATACTGCTGAAGTCAACATCCTAATGCATAAATCGTTGGCCGCTCATACATGATTTTTCTAAATAGATTCCCAGAAATGGAATTACTATGTCAAAGGGGAATGAATATTTTTTAAAAGTTTTTGATACAAACACCCAAACTGCTTTTAAATTCTTACACTGACCAACATTGATCATTCCTGGTGGTAAGTTTGCTATTTAGCTAAAACCAAAAATAGATTTCTTGGTTTATTTTAAATTTCTTGACCACTGGAAAAGCCGAGTGTTTTTCATGTATTCTTCTATTTCCCTTATTACAAATTATTCCTCTCCCTCAGCCATTTTTCTACCATCACTGGAGTGCTCTTATAACATAATAGACTTCTTTGTAGAAAAATGTCCTCCTCCAAACTACAAATTACAGATACGAATTGACTAAACTAACCCTCAAGTTTATTGCACTGTAACATAATCAGCTTCTAAGTCAGCCTTTTAGCTACCTAGCATGGTTGGGGAATACTATATTCCATGTATCTTCTTCTAGATAACTTAATCAGTTCAAAGGCCAAATTTTGTTTTGAACATTTCTGCTTAATACAGAGTACACAAATGATAATCCAATATATTCTTTATGGCCCAGCATTATAAAGATCAATAGCACTTTCATGTCAGGCCGTTGACGTGTGTGGTAAATGGTCCCACATGGCTGGGCTCTGAAGTTCTTCCATCTCTCCTCCCTCTTTCTCTAGCTACAATTTCTTACAGCCCTGTGTGTGCTCATGTCTACCCTACATCAGAATTTATGAGAGCCATTCTGCCCTTGCTACAGAATAAAATGCCATGACTTTCTGACAGTAACTTTTCCATTTTCTGGGAAATATTTTTTTTTTCTTATTTTCAGGTTTGTCACTATACTCTAAAAGTTAAAGCTCATAGAATTTTAAACTCTGAAAAACTATAGGGAGGTAGGTTTCTGTTACTACATACATTACACCTACTCTGGGTATAAAACAGCTAGAAACTTACTGAAAGCCATGAGGATAACAGCTCCAGTCCTTTTAGAAAAATCCGTAAAACCTACCCACATTTGCAGTATCTTTAAACTTTTTTTGACAAAAAGAAAATAAGAGTAGATCTCACTGTAATTTCATTTTGAAGTAGTATTTAAAAGACTATTTACTGAAAATTAGGTAACTAGAGCAAGGAATACATTAAACACTTTTTTTCCTTCTTTTTCTTCATAGAGAATTATTGTTTGGAGGTTATTTATTTTTTTTTTAAAGATTTTATTTATTTGTCAGGGACAGAGGGAGAGAGAGCGAGCGAGCACAGGCAGACAGAGAGGCAGGCAGAGGCAGAGGGAGAAGCAGGCTCCCTGCCGAGCAAGGAGCCCGATGTGGGACTCGATCCCAGGACCCTGGGATCATGACCTGAGCTGAAGGCAGCCGCTTAACCAACTGAGCCACCCAGGCGTCCCTTGTTTGGAGGTTATTAAGCTATGGGCGGAAAGGTTCTTAACAGATAAAAGTACTAATTGATGGGAAATGATGGCACATATCCAAATCTGTGGGATAATTCAAGAGATAAGCTGATATTTCTAGAGAAGATTAGCAATGAGTCTATACACATTGGCCTCCACAACAACATTGGCCTCCCTGATGAATCTAATTTAATAGAGTGTAAAAATGGTATTTCATGGCCATCAAATAGATATTGGGTAGTAAAACAGCTACTCCTTACTCTCCAGGTTCAAGCGTGGCTCTGGGCTGACTCGGAGTCAGCCCCAAGGGAGAGGGGTCTCAGGTGTGCTACCAAGTTCTCTCAGGGTCTTTCCTCCTCCACAGTGGGGACCCAATGACTACTTTCTATAACGGTACTGTCTTGAGAGGCAAATGATGGTTTTGATGAAGTGTAATATTATTTAGAATCACTTAATATTTTTGGTCACTTAAAATTAAACATAATATACATTAATCGTATCTATCTGGAAAGCCTGAAATATTTTATTAAAAATTCAACACATTAAAATTCATGTAGTCCAGATGTTTCTTCCACTTTTTCCTCTTTTCCTCTAGATAATGTTTTGATGGGATGCACAATTAGGGCCCCTTGAGAGGGAGGAGGGACTCTCGTGAGGCCCAGGGAGAGGGGCTAGGTGGTTTGCATATGTAATCTGCTAGTTTATAGGACTGTTTTAACCTGCTTCTGTCACAGAAATGCTTTAACACCAAGTTAAATTCTGATCTTCTCCTCCTTCCCCTAGCCTGGTAACAAAGGGTAAACAGGAACACTGGTTATCTGCTCCCCCCTCTCCCTCTCGCCCCATATCTGGTTGATTGGTTCACACAGTACTCCCATTTTTCCAACCACTGATGCTAAGTCACTTTTTTTGTATTTTTCTCAGGGCTAATGAGATATTAAATAAAGACTGTAAGCCAAAAAGGAGGCCAGCAACATTGAGATCTGACAGGCCCCAGTGAAAACGAAGGGGTCCGTTCAGGTCACGTAGATCAATAGTGTCAGCTTGTAATCTGTGTGATCTTATTCAAAACAGACAATAAACCATTCTCTGAGGATAAATAAGGCCCAGCAGAAGGAAAAGCTATAACCAGACCTCACTCCCCACGTCCACCTGAACGAACACAGCCTGCGAGCTTTCAGCTTATTGGAGTTTTTATTTCCTTCAACGGGGAGTCTTTTTAAGTATTAAACTGTCATCCAGCAATATGACTAGTTCGAGGCTGTCTTTCTTTTTCCTTCCTAAAGTAATTTCATCCTTTAGCAATTTCCCAAGTTAATTTAAATATGAAAGTAGGAGGCTTATCTAGAGTATAAAATATGAAAAGCTTTATAATATATTTCAAAACACTGGCATGGCCCTTTATTCCGTTCTTGGGGAGGAAATTCAGGATCCCACAGTATCCAGCTGTTGTCATGGAAACGCCTCTGCCAGGCAGCTTCTTATTGTTACTGTGGTCACCCAGCTGCGGACCCAGAAGGGACAAGCCGTGCGTTTACTCTATAAAAATGTCGCCTCTCCTCCTCTCAGAGGCGATCCGGGGAAAGATTAATATTCCAGGACAGAAAACAGTTTACCCCCAGAGAACGTGACAGCCACCAGAGCCAGCTCCTCTTCTGCATGCTGGATCTTTTCTGCCACAACTTTCAGGATCTCATGTGCTGTACTGGAAACTTTGGCCTTCACGCTGACATAGGAGTGCTCCGTTATGTACACATGGCAAAAGACTGCATACAACACAAGAATCATTAGTCAACAGGGAACTGGAGGCGTGAGGTACAGACATTTCCAAATGAAGGCATCCACCGGCCTATTCTCTTCAGGGTAAAACTTACACAACTTGATTTACATATTTATGTCTGCGCTCAGGTGCCTGAGGGCATCCATAGAGAAACAGGTGCTTGGCCACGTGGGAGATACAGACATTACAAAGCTGGTGAATGAAAGCGCCAAGGATTTAGGCTTCCCAAACTAGAATGAGAGATCTAGGTCACGAAAGCCATGTGCTCACGGTGGAGACAGCCTGACCACGGCATAGCGGGATGGGGCGCGGGGGAGGGTATGTAACTTATAGCTCTGAGTCCCTTCTTTGAGGGTTACTGAGATTTCCCAAAGCACTGTATTAAGATATCTCACTCATAAATTTTTATTTTACACTCCATTTCCAGACAGTCACTGTTAGGTCAATCTGGAGCTCTCTTAAGCTTATATAAAAAATCTGCCCGTTTGCCATGGTTTTTGTGTTCAGGCATCTTGATCATTTAATAATGATGTCCCTGATCAAGATGCGGGTGAGTTTGGTTTCCAAAGAGAAGGCACATTTCTAGCCCTTTTAATATCCTTTTTGTTGTATGCAGTGCAAATAATTATTACTAGGACATCATCACTACCAGGGTGACTCGGGGTCCTGGAAAAGATTATTTTCCTGATTTGAGAGCAGAAACTGTTAAATAGCAGTGGAGATAACTGATATATTGTTTCTTACAGCAGCTACTTTGAATTATAAAATACTAGCTTCTTTCAAAAAGATAATGTACTTATTCTTCTCTGCCATGTTGCAAAAAAATAAAAAAACAAAGGGGGAGTGCAGTTCCTAGAGAAATCTTACATGCAATTTAAATGCCTCCCCCCCAAAATAAACCCAGGATGCTTCTCACAGAAAGGCAGATGAGGCAAAAGAAAAATGAGTTTACGTGTAGGAACCTCAAAGTAAACACCACGGGAAGGCACGGAAATTATTTTGGTCTTGGTTTGGTTCAGTATGTCACTAAAACAATAGCATCTAACAAACAGTTGTTTTATATGTTGTCCACAGAAATGTGAGAGGCAACAAAAGCTTTTTTGCTTCGACAGAAAAATAAAATTTTTGAGCAAGACAAGGACCAGTGCACAAACCACTGAATATGAGGAAAGCTTAAAACCCGCTTAATAAACAGATAAACAAAAAGAGGCCAGGAGTCTTGAAACATTTCTACTCTTTGTAACTCAGCTTGGGAAATTACCTGGTTAAAATGTAAGACAAATCAGCCTGGAGGGTCAGCGACTAAGGAATTAGGAGGTAAGATCATTTCTTTCCCAGCTTCCACAAATACCGCGCAGCAGAAGCCTGGGTGTGACACTTTGTTGTTTAAGTATGTGAGAAGCAGAGCAGACAGGAAGGGTTCACACTTAGAATTTCAGCCCAGACGGAGAGGTGGGCTCTAAGAGAAACCTCCTAGTCACAAGAGCGTGAATGTTTCCATTGTTGTGTTTCCCCAGGCTCTGCACTTGACTCAACCTTTATTCACACAGAAGGAAATCATTTCCTGCTCTGTTATAAGGGAGTAACACAGAAGGCAGCACCATCTGGGGCTAAAGGTTATCTACCCTCCCCCACCCCTACTGTGCAAGCATCTTCAGAGTGGGTCCTGAGCCCTGTCACCGGGGAGCTTTGGGGAGTGCTGACCGAGGGTGGATGGACTGGGCACGTAGCACTGTCTTGCAGGGGGATTTCTGCCCCACTCCTGTCCTTCTGCTCTTCTTGCCAAGAGTCTCTTCTCTTCATCTCAGGGACTGACCCCACCAAAGCCCCGCATGTTGGCTTTAACGGGCTTTCCAGTCAGTCCCAGACAGTGAGCTGACCGATCAAGGGAGAAAGCAGCCAAGAGGAACAGGTAGTACCTTCCAGGCAATGCTGCACCTCTCCCTGAGAAAGTAAAGAAACTCTTGTTCCAAGTTTTCTTTCCTCCCTTCCCAACCAGAAACATCCTTGGCCCCTGAGACACTGGTGTAGGGTGAAGAAAATGGCTGCACTTGAAGCAAGAAAATAACGACCATCATCTTGGGTGTGAACATGTTCGACACAGGTCACAGGGCTGTGATGGCTGGAAATGTTCCAAGGCGGGCTGATGTGTTAATGCTGGAGAATGAGGGTGATTAACTGCAACTCCACCTACCCCAAACCCTCGTTAAAATGACACTCACTTTCCTCTGTTTCAGTCACGGTTCCTCTATGCTGGAGCCAGTTCTCCTTAAGACTGAATTGGTGGAAAAGGGCTTTATTCTGTGAGAAGGGAGAAAGAGAACAATGAATGAATGCATTCCTGCCCTTTGGAAAACCACAGCTGTTTACGTGTTCCAAAAGAGCTAGCCAGTTTTTCTTTCTTTCATTTTTTAAAAATAAAATCCACCCATCCAATTTTAGAGGACTAAATAGGGAGTTGCCTCTATTCATGCATGTGGAGGTAAAGATGCTGAGCAACACAGCAGACCTTGGCCAAAGCCAGGAGCAGGCAAAAAGCTCCTATAATTATTCCCTGCAACACGTTGGAGAGTACTGGCCTGATTCTGAACCTCTGGCTACCACAAACACCCACAGATTCTTCTCTGGAGAGAGATATCCCAACATTAACCATGCTCTGGAACAAAGCAACTTTAGATGGCTGCACGCTTCTGCTGTAGCACCAGGACTCGCTTAAGGGAAATAAGTACATTATTCATTATGATTATCCACCTGATAGATGAGCTTCTACGAAACGTGTGCCTGACATCTCATTTTGCATTTCCCCTTCAAGGTGAATAGGAAACACACTCCTTCTTTTCCTTTTTGTCGGGTTGAAAAGTACAAACCTTTTGCTTATTACTAGACTTCCTCACCCTTGCAGTCAAGATACTTGCCTGCATTTCTTTTTCTTTTTTTCTTTCTTTTTTTTTTTTTTTCCACATCAATGTTTCAAATTCAAATTTATATCACTCTGGGAACACTGGAGAAACTCTGAGTTTCCAAAAATAGGCAGAATGTCAAGTCAAGGGCACGTGGCCAGCGTCTGATCTGGATCTACAGCAGCACAGGCAAGGTGAAGTGAAGCCGTGAAATCCACGTAAGCCACAGCCCCTGGCTTCCCCCACTGCCCCTGGTCTGCTTGAGGCAGGATTCATTTTAATTATGAAGAAAGGCCAACTGAGGCCAAGCAAGGTCTCCCAACTTGACGGCCCCATTTTGGATAGAGAAAGGTTTGCCTCACCTTCCTTTGTGGTGAATATTCATCTACAGTGCTGAAAGGAAAAGGAAAAGGAAAAGAAGTCAGTCTTTGTCCCAAACCCAGAATAATGCAGTGATTGTCACAGAAGATTAATTTTCAGGCACTGGGCAGATGATTTTGCTTTTCAGAAAGATAAAACCTGGTATTCATTAGGTCACTATGTATAACACCCATGACCTTGGGCTCTGGGTTTCGACTGAATGAGGAAGAAAAGATGCTATCTACTCAATGGGTATATTTTACTTTCTATGCACAGAAAGTGAGCACTGAAGGAAGAACTAGGTTTAGTCAGTCCACAGAAACTCTGAGTTTTCTCCTATACTGATAGATTGGTTGAAATTCTTGTTATTCAGATGGTTAAGTTAACGAAGGCACAACTTTTCCAGAATGTTTCTGTGTATGGTGGAAGTAGGGGACATTCTGTAGGTCCCCAGCTCAAACCTTTTTCTAGAATCTAGAGATAACTCATAATCTTTCACCAATCTTTCACTTTCTTATTTCAATCTATTATTTCCCATTTTATTTGAGTCTTTAAAATGGGATGTATTACGTTCCATTAATGTACTGAATGCATATAAATGCATTAAGGCATGAATTAAAGTTTCCCAAGGGTAACCAGGCCTGTCTTATAGCAAAGACCAACTTCCATGTGGAGGGATTATTTTGATATAAAGGCTTGTCTCTCTTTTTTTTTCCCGTTTCATTTATTTGTTCACATTTTCATACTCATCTTAGGTACTGAGAACTTATTACAGTGTAGACCATGACAAAGGAACATCACCCAAATTCCCAACTTTATTTCTAACACTGTCCCATACTGCATCTCATTTCTGAATTTCTAAATGTGATTTTCATGACTGAGGAATAAAGCTGTTACATGATTTTTTTTTGTGCCCTAAAATAATTTATATAGACATTTAATTTGCAATAGGATCTCTCTTTACTAAAATTAGGTCAGGCTTGAAGTCTCAAATTAGTCATCTGAAAGGCCTAAATTAACACTTTCTACAAGAAGTGCCTCTGTGACTGCTGAAATCTTCATAGAAATTTCTCACAACTTGACAACATGTGCATTTCATGTTTACTAAATAGAAGGTACACTGCAAATCGGAGAACAGTTTTTCCTTTCAGATTAAGTCTGCAGCTCTATCTGAAAACTGAATAATGACCTCATGTTTTCATTCACCAATATTAGTAAGGAGAATTAGTGGTCAATCAGGTGCTGGCAATCTGAAAGACTAATGAGAGATACCTTGGGGATACTTACATATACCAAAATTCAGGGAGTAAATGGTTTTCTTTAATCTTTCTAAATTGATAAAGAAACCCCAGGGAATCCAAAAGATGGAGCTTTAAAAATGCTTCATGACTTGCTGAAACCTATTTCTAAAACTTTTTTTTCCCTATTCCATTAGAGACAGCTATGAGCCCCCAGATGACAAGTTAAATATTTACACTTTTAAAATTAAATAATAACTTAATAAAGAATTGTTTTTTATGTATCCAGGTTGTTCTGGCTCTGTTGGTGTCTATCGTATCAAACAGTGTAAAAAAAAAATAGCCAATATTATGCAGCCATAAAAAAAAAAAAAGAAATTTTGCCATTTGCAATGAAGTGGATGGAACTAGAAGGTATTATGCTAAGTGAAATAAGTCAGTCAGAGAAAAACCATTATCATATGGTCTCACTGATATGTGGAATTTAAGAAACAAGGCAGAGGATCATAGGGGAAGGGAGAAAAAAATGAAACAAGATGGGATTGGGAGGGAGACAAACCATAAGGGACACTTAATCTCAGGAAACAAACTGAGGGTTGCTACAGGGGTGGGGGATGGAAGGGAGGGATGGGGTGGCTGGGTGATGGACACTGGGGAGGGTATGTGCTACGGTGAGTGCTGTGAATTGTGCAAGCCTGATGATTCACAGACCTGTACCCCTGGGGCTAATAAATACATTATATGTTAATAAAAATAGATAATTAAAATAAATAAAAATTAAAAATCGGCATGTAAGTGGAAAAAAACAGCCAATAAGCTTGATATTGTGTTCACTCGTTTTGATATAAAAGCAAAATACACAATTCACTACTAGAAAAGCTAAGGAATCAAGGGATCCCAGATTCAAAGTGTTCAAGATGAACTTTGTAAGACACTCGAATTCTATCACCTTTGCTACTTTCTTTTATTAACTGTAATACGGAAAGGTGCAGGTACTCACTGGCGACGGTGCATTCCAAGTATCTTCTGAAACTCTTTCAGTTCTTTTTCAAGTATTGGATATTCATAGACGTCATCCAGCACGTTCCTGTAAATGGTCTGCGGGGCAGGGGGAGAAAGAAAAATGGTGGCTGAAATGCCTATCCTGTCAGGACTAGGATTCGCACGACAGTTAATCTGCTGAGGGAACAGGTGGAATGAAGGATCATGCAGGGGGTTAAACCAGTACCAGTGAGATCCTAGGTGGGATTCCGCCTCCTAGCCCCTCACTCAACTGTGTGGCTCTCTCACAGCTGTCAGGGGCCATACGTAGTCAATGCTAAACTTAGAGACACCTGGAAGGCTACTCGAGATTCCCATGCCTATTCTATATTTAAAAAATAATACCCACATAGTCACTTGGAAAGACAAGAAATGGACTGAATCTTATTACCCAGTTGTTTTGAAAATAACATTAGTTTTTGAGGCACCTGGGTGGCTGAGTCAGTTAAGCATCTTGGGCTCAGGTCATGATCCCAGAGTCCTGGGATTGAGCCCCAAGACCGGCTTGTATGTTTTATCTACCTTAACTATTTCATCTGTAATCAAAATTCCCATGAATTATATAAAATAACCTTAAATTAGCAAATGTAAAACTGGCTGCCTACATTTTTTTTCATAATGGATTATTTTCAATTAAAAAAATTTTTTATCTATGTATAGAATAGCAGGCCTCAAAAATCGAAACAGGGGCACCTGGGTGGCTCAGTCAGTTAAGCATCTGCCTTCGGCTCAGGTCATGATCCCAGGGTCCTGGGATCGAGTCCTGCATCAGGCTCCCTGCTTAGTGGGGAGTCTTTTTCTCCCTCTTTCCCCTACCCTCCTGCTTGTGATCTCTCTTGCTCACTCACTCTCTCTCAAATAAATAGAAACTTTAAAAAATAAATAAAAATAAATTAATATTTTCTTTGAATCACACCTTGAATATGACAACAAAGTTGCTTGACTGCCACCTACAAAAGGATTTTAGAAGTACAGAACTGAAAATAAAATCAGTCGTTTGGAATCAAAGAATATCTTCAAGTTTTACATTACCTTTAAGAACATTTTTGAATGTTCGTCTTCATGTAACCAGTCTTTGTAGAGGGCAATCCATTGGGACACAAGATGCAAAACCTTACGTTTCCGACAAGGAACATCTGAGTTTTCTTCTTTGCCTTGATACTTCTTAGCAGAATAGGTGCAAATGGTTAAGAGAGAATATTGCATTGTTGGAAATATTGCATTGTGCTCTTTAACTGAAAATATGAAGAGATGCATGTATTCTTATTTTCACAAAACATGCTAAAGCATTTGCCAAAGAATCTGCAAGTATCTAAGCCTGTGGGAAGAAAAGAGCATGGGTAGCTAGAGCAAAGGTATGCACCAGAAAGAGCAAAAGCAAGTAAACCCAGGAAAATGATGTCCGTGTGCTTGGTGGCAGGTCGTGAAGGTTAATTAGATGATTTGCATTGACAGCTGCTGACACAGTCCCACAGGTAGCACAGGTCAATGCCACCATGAAGAGATTCTAAGTGGCCCATGAATTTCAAGGGTGGCGACAGCAGTGCTGGCCTCATTACACAGGTAGACACCTTCCATAAAAGTTACATCAGAAGTAGGCCAGATATCCTTTGATTTTCAGAAATTCACAACTGATAAAAGCAGTCACTTCTCAATTAGCCCCTATGGGCACTGATTGCTGGAGTATCATTTGTGCTGTGATTTAAATGCCCACTCCCAGGAATTTGCTTGGAAAAAAGGACTGGATAAGCATGTAAACATAATTAAAAAGGACTACTACTTTTCATTTTCATTGGAATAAAAAAAGTAAAATAGGAATAACCTAAATGGGTCAAACACTGGATAGTTAGCTAAGTCATCACAGATCCATTAATAGGCAATCTACAGCTGTAAGACTGATGGTCTAGTGGTGCATTTATGGATGGCGAACACTTAGCATATTGTTGAGCAGGAAAGCAAGCAAGAAAATATGTTGGGATCATCTGCTTCCATCAACTATGCTTATTTATAAGAAAAATTTCATCACCCTGAATGATATATATTGGAAGTTACAGGGGCGAACTGTGCTGTTCAAATTACATAAAAATAACAACTCCCCAAAAGCAATGTGCTTAAAGCCTTGGGGATGAGACGGAAGCTTGGCATTTTCCAAATCAACCTAGTGTTTTTGTTCCCCAAATTACCATTTCTAACCATCTCGGACACACTGGAAAGTTACATAGGAAAAGGAAATGCTATGATACCAAAGACAGGGAGGACTTGGGGCTGCTGGGAAGGATTCTCCACTACTTAATGCTGAAATATAACTGCAAAATACAAGTATCTATGTCAGCCTTTGTAAATATTTTAAAACATATTTAGTCACTGTCTCTCTAACCTGCAAGAATACATCCAGGGCGTTTGATTTTTTTTTTTTTTTAAATTTCTGTGTGAGTAATAGACTCAGGCAAACACACAAAGAATCTGTTAAAGCATCCATTTTCCCATTTTTTCTCTTAACAGATAAAATATAAAATATTATAGCCTACATTATTTCCACTTGTACAAAGGTCATGTTCTTCTTTTCCTGTGACTACCATGGCCTAACCAATACAAAGAAGAAAACCTAGAAAATTCGGAAATACTTACAACTTCTTTATTTTAGGTCAGCATGTATAAGCCAGGAGGTGGGCTTTTTTTTTTTTTTAATTTTTTTATTTATTTGACAGAGACGCAGCAAGAGAGGGAACACAAGCAAGGGGAGTGGGAGAGGGAAAAGCAGGCCTCCTGCTGAGCAGGGAGCCCGATGTGGGGCTGGATCCCAGGACCCTGCGATCAAGACCTGCTCTGAAGACAGATGCTTAATGACTGAGCGACCCAGGTGCCCCACGGAGGTGGGCTTAATTATTACCACTGCATCTATGTTTTATAATTAAGGACCTGTAGGATAGAGCCATTTCAGGGACTGAAATGTCAACAGCCCTTCTCCATTCACAGTTACTACCATTTTGTTTCATCTTGTTTTGCCTACAAGATGTATTTTTCAAAAATGTTAGTAATTAAATTTAACATGTGAATTACTCTGTTTCTTTATCAGGGTGTATTCACTTTTATACATTTTGCCCATGCTAGATTATATCGATTTATAAACATAGCCAAAGGATGGGAATAATGGGAAGGCACTGGATGACAATTATACCTTCAGTGCAGTGCACTGAACATTAGCTAGCCTAAGGCTAGAAGCTTACATAATACTTTTTATGATGATAAAAACTAAAAAGTATAAAATTCTATCACAGTAAAAGTACCTGTCTAAGATACCCAAACACAGCATAAATGGCTCTAATCTATAACTAATGTTTAAAAACAATGGGAGACAAACAACAAAAATTAATTCAGACCACTCCTTAGGAGATGGCAGTGGGATATATAAGTTAGCTTCACTAAGGGGCACAAAAAAATCTCTCAAATTAAATATGGATGCCATATTTTTGTTTGTGGTTTGTATTATTTCACAAAAAGCAGAGTATGGATTTCATGGGTTTTGATAATTAGTAAAAAGGCTGCTAAGTAAGAATCTGAACTAAGTTTTCGTAGAACATGTCTTGGTCAAAGACTTAAAACATGGTCATATGAGGGGCACCTGGGTGGCTCAGTGGGTTAAAGCATCTCAGGGTCCTGGGATTGAGCCCCACATCGGGCTCTCTGCTCAGCAGGGAGCCTGCTTCCTTTCCTCTCTCTCTGCCTGCCTCTCTGCCTACTTCTGATCTCTGTCTGTCAAACAAATAAATAAAATCTTAAAAAAAAAAAAACCAAACCATGGTCATATGAAAGTGAAGTTTTAGAGACTCTTCAGGGAAATTCTATGAGGAATTAAATTACTCAATAATAATAACAAATAATACTAGGATCCTATTTATTTATTTATTTATCTACTTTTATTTAAAGAGAGAGGGATATGGGGAGGGGCAGGAGAGAGAGAATTTTCAGCAGGTTCCATGCCTAGCAGGGAGCCTGACACGGGGCTCGATCTCAGGACACTGAGATCATGACCTGAACCAAAATCAAGAGCTGGATGCTGAACTGACTGAGCCACCCAGGTGTCCTTATTAGGATCCTACTGAAAAGCAATGGTTTGAAGACATCTATTTGCTATGAAGCAAACTATATGGTTTAATAGATGGTAATACTTTTGGAAAAGCCTTTAGCATTAAAAGGTAGAAGAAATTAGCTCATAGTTATTTTTCTAAAACACTATTAAAGAAGAACTTGAAAACCTTGTAATTATTGCAGAAATTTTTAATAACATCCACTTGGAAGCTGTGAAAGAAATCTGTTTTTTAAATTCTCTAAATTCAAAATGGGTAATGTTTCAAGGCCAGTTTTATGAACCAGTTCAAAAGCTCCCCAAGAAATGTAGCTTTGGGGGCGCCTGGATGGCTGAGAGGGTTAAAGCCTCTGCCTTCAGCTCAGGTCATGATCCCAGGGTCCTGGGATCGAGCCCGGCATTGGACTCTCTGCTTGGCAGGGAGCCTGCTTCCTCCTCTCTCTCTGCCTGCCTCTCTGCCTATTTGTGACCTCTGTCTGTCAAATAAATAAATAAAGTCTTAAAAAAAAAAAAAAGAAATGTAGCTTTGTGTGGCCATATGGACATAGCAAAGTACTACCAATTAATCATGATTTCTAGTTTATATATTTATTAAGAGAGATTTTATTTCAGGTATGCCCTTTATGGAGTTTTAAGGTATACTTTTAAGCAGGAAAAGGCTATCAAACTGGGTAAAAATCCAACGATCATTTAACAGGACAATATTACCAAGACCACTACCATTATGGCTCAATAAAACTCAGGTATATGCATAAAAAAAAATCCATCTTCCTAAAAATGTTCACTAGGGCTCTAGTGGAATCTTCAGTTTGGTTTGATAAATACCTGACAGTTAAGAGACTTCTTAAATGCTTCTGAAGCACCTTTCTTGCACACTGTTAGTCAAGAAGCCTGTATGGAGACTCTGTGTAAGTTTACTTGGCTTGGCTTTATGGCCTTTCATCTGTTGCACCCCTTCTAGTTCATGTATCAAATCATAAAGCTTCCCTAACTCGTCATTAACCTCATCACACCTGTCATTCTAACAGCACATGTCTTCACAAAGCTTCTGAAAGATGACAGTTGATTAGGGAGTAGTTTCAACCTCCCACATTGGGGATGGCTCACCGGGCCCTGGGACACTTGCAGAGAAACATGGAATCATGCACGTACATTTTCCTGCCCAAGTCCCCTGGCACTAACGGCCTGATTGTCTTACAAGTTCACTTATGGCCTGTCCACTCAACCTCTTGACTCTGGGCTTTACTGGGTGGGCCAAACTTACCTCAGATTTCTCTTCTTGAGACCTACGTTTGAAGAAAACATAACACAAACAGTACAATTTACCCACAACCCAGAAGGTGAGAACAGTAGCCCCGCCTTCCTGTTCTTCCAGTTCTCCCTGTCTATTCTGTCTCATTTCATCTTTTACCTTGGATATCATTACATTAATATTTAACAGATCCACACTCTACAGAGTGGCTGAGTAAATTAAGAAAGGCAGTTAATTCCTAATGTGAGACATCTGTCTGAGAGGAAGCCAGCACAGCATCCTGAAGTTAATGAAGGATATTGCCTCAACAGCGCCTGGCACAAGTCATCAGTTGTCATGAAGACCGTGTACGTGAGGAGGAAGTCATCAAGGAGGGTCTCTGCAAAGAAAGTAAAATAAACACAAGGTAAGCACACCAGTGATAAGAAGGGCAATTGCTTCTCCAGGCTCTCGAACAGCATGTGTGGCAGAATTATGGTAAGTGGTGGTGGTTGTGGGAGGGGTTAGGATAGGAGAATTTTAACCAAAAAATACATTACTTGTTGATGTTAAGATTTTTTAAACTCCTTACACAGAACACCTCAAGCAATGGGATTATTTTTTTTGTTGCAAGGCTCTCTAAACATACAACTTTTGTTATTTTTTTTCACTCTCTAAAACATCATTTATTTTTGTGGGTAAAGATGTTATAGAAACCCAATGCATATATAATGTCCTTTTAAAGATAAATTTTATAGGGGCGCCTGGGTGGCTGAGAGGGTTAAAGCCTCTGCCTTCGGCTCAAATCATGATCCCAGAGTCCTGGGATCGAGCCCCGCATCAGGCTCTCTCCTTGGTGGGGAGCCTGCTTCCTCCTCTCTCTCTCTGCCTGCCTCTCTGCCTACTTGTGATCTCTCTCTGTCGAATAAATAAATAAAATCTTTAAAAAAAAAAAAGATAAATTTTATGGTATTTCCGGGGTATATACTCCAGTCCCACAGGGAATGAAGCTCGCATGTTCTAATAAATTAAGGCTTTCTAAAGTCATTTACCTAAGTCTAGGCCAAGAACAATGGATAATAAAACTTAGAGGACACACAGCAGGTTCCAAGGCCATTCACTTTTCTCTCTCAAATACATCTATGAGAAGCTGGAAATGTGGTGGGTGATGGTACTGTGGCGGAGAGAGACACAGCTAAGAGACACTTGTTAAATATGGGGAGCAGGGGCGCCTGGGTGACTCAGTGGGTTAAAGCCTCTGCCTTCGGCTCAGGTCATGATCCCAGGGTCCTGGGATAGAGCCCTGCATCGGGCTCTTTGCTCGGCGGCGAGCCTGCTTCTCTCTCTCTCTCTCTGCCTGCCACTCTGCCTACTTGTGATCTTTCTCTGTCAAATAAATATATAAAATCTTAAAAAAAAAATACAGGGAGCAGGGATAACATATCATGATATACTTCTTCCCAATCCCTTCCCTACCTCCTCAACTGACAAAAAAAGCTTTGATTTTTATTGCCTCTTGGCCTTGAGTGTTCTTGGAAAAGTCCAGCTTACATGTAATATGGGACAGCTAAACAGGTAAACCCTAACCCCCCAATATCATTTCCAAATTGATAGAAAAAATCACATGCACAGTGCGAAGTAGAGCTCTTGCCATACTTGTTTTTATCCAGCCTCCTTAACTTAAAATTCTTTTTCAGTTAATTTCATTTTTATGCCTTTTACATCCTGGACATAAATTTCTAGGAATTTGAAATAGTAATTAATCAGTCGTAAGAATAATGAGCTTGTACACGTGATACCATTTATGCTCTCCAAGAGCTATACTGAGTGTGTAAGTAGAAAGAATCGCCCTGTATAGAACTCTGAAGGTCTATGTCGAGGTCTATGGCATCTAAAAATGCCAGAATTTTTAGAAATAACCAATACCATTTACTGTAAGGAGTGATCAATGCAAAACAACAAGGCTATGTTTATGAACACTGATATAAACTCTGATATAAAGAGGTAGTGAATGATATCTCCGATCCTTGTCAGCTGCCCCTGCTTAATTAATTGTTTTGTTTGATTGCAGAACATCAAGATCATCCCAATTTACACCAATAAGTGATTGCAAATGGTCATGTTAAAAAAAAAAACAAAACTTCCTTTCTAACTGCAGAATGGCCTTAAGTGAAATGAACCAGAGATGCTAATGAAGAGTATTAAGAAAGTTTTTTTTAAAGATATTTACTTATTTATGCTAAGTAACAGTATTCCTTATTAAAAAAATAAATTTGACAAATGGCACCCATAATGTCAAATCAGCCTACATGTATAATGTATCACACTGCAATATATTAACAGTCTCTGCTCCAGCTTACTGTTACTTGTAAAAGTAAGTTCTCAAACAGATGTGTCTGGGCCTTGCTAGGCAGAAACGAAGCCCTATCCAGTGTGTAGGGGAAGGAACAGCCCCATATGGAGTTCTACAGCCCTATATGCTGAAGGTAACTGTGGGAGTGTGGCCAGTTGGACAATTCAGTGTGAACACACACACACAGCCTAGACTCACAGAAGGCCTAGGAGCTCTCTCCTAGAGACCCTGTTTACAAAAGTGACTGGCAAGCTGTGACCTCCAACATAATTTCCAAATTCACAGGAAAGATTCCGTGCAGTTTCAAATATTCATCTGCATGGAAAGGCAGGAGAAACTGTATTCTAAGACCGGCCCCCAAACCTAGTTAACCTGACAACAGAAGTTCATCACTTGGTTATCCTAATGAAAATCCTGAAATATACATTTTGGAGGTCTGTGTGTCCTTCATCACAGTTCTTAAAAATAGTTTCAAGAAAAATCAAACAGTGGCATAACATCTGAACCCCTAGGATATTTTGAAATACTACTTAAAAACTAGCACTCTGGGACACTACTGAGCAGGTATGGTCACCAATTCTAACACAGCTCTGTAATAAATGTGGGTGATGAAAATCTTCAAGCTCTCTGCTCTCGTTAGAAATTGAGTCTTTCTTGTATACAGTGCTAGGTATAGGCAGCAAGAACCACAGAGTAGCCTAAAATCTATTTGAGGGTTCTCTGCGGGCCTTTACAGATCAGAGCAGACAATATACAGAAGCCGCTGGGTGAGAGCCTGAGAACCTCACCATTCCTCATTCAAAATATTTGATGGGACATAGGTTCAGACTCTTTGGGATGTTCTTATACTTAGCTGATTCAAGGAGGTTGGAACTATTTTCTAATCAAAATTTACTCCATTAGCAACTGAGATGAAAAAGAATGCCATTAAAATTTGACATAACCAGTCATTCCATTCTGGAACAGCCTTGGATAATGAGCTGAGTGACTGTGAGAAGTCTGGTTTATATGGTGGCAAAACCATTTGGCATTCGATTCAATTAATGAGCTCACATGTGACGATATTTTGTTAAGGGCTTTGACCCAGAAATGCTTTCCCCTACGTTACTACCATATTTAATATTCAACAGCATTTACCTAATTATCTCTTTGCAACAGAAATATTAATTAAAATAAAAACAACAAGGCTACATAAAAACATCTCCAGTTAAAGTCCTACCGAACCGCTAAACTTCCTCAAAAGAGAACAGATTCCCTATGCCCTTGATTCAAATCTTTCCCTATTTAACTACCATATTGTTATGAAATTTTTCTCTATATTAAGAGCTTTCCCTTACTCTCTTTCAGCACTGGTATTTTTTTGCTGCCCATGAAAGTAATTGAATGATATAATCAAAATGACACACTTCAAATAAAAATGCATTTTGTAATAGCCATGTATCAAAAAAGACTGTTCAATGGTATTCAGAGATATTTTTAGAACCACAAAGGCTATACAAATGATCCCCTGAAGACTATTAGCCAACAATAGCCATTTAGAAAGACTAGCACATCCTCTGGCATCCACATTAAAACACTATAATTATCTATTATGTTATATAGTGCTTAATTAGCAGTAATTTAAGACCTTAGGCAGAAAAGCACCTTTGTGTATAAAAGTATCTTTCATTTAAACAAATTCATAGTGGCCATATACACTAACATTCTGAATAAAAAGATATATTCATTTTGCTTTCTAACTCTGTGAATACCTAGGTATTAACAGACAAACACCTTTCCTTTGAAATTCTATTCTTTAAATCAATCACTAAATCTAATCCCAAATTCTTGGCTCATCACTGACAAAAGTATTCAGCCATCCTTTTGGGAGTACTCCCCTGCTCCCCCCAAATAAAAGAATATTTATGTTGTGGCTTTTTTAAGTATAGGAAGTATTCTCGCAGTATAAAAGAAACATGCTGGTAACGATCAAAACTGGAAAGCAGATACTATTAGTTTTACGCATTATGTTCACTTGAAATAAAATACATCAAGGTATAGTCAAAATCTAAAGCTTTGATAGAAATGACTCTAAAAACAATGAATCTTGGAACACTGAAAAAATAAAATAAAATTAAAAAAAAAAAGAAATTACTCTAAAACTCATGACCATAATGATGTTAATACAGGACTTTCCTCCTCATCTGTTATTGTCTAAATCTTAAGGTATAAGAAAAGAACTGTCCATTTTCATTTGATTTTACTTGAATGTATTTTTCTTTTACGCAGATATTAAAATATCTTCTCATTCTCGCTTGAAATGTATCAAGCACTAAAATGTCCATTTATTTCTGTAAAACGCAAGTGTTTCTGGAGCATCCTAGAGTTGTGTCAGGTGGACTAGTAACTGGTTTGGTACAGATCCTTTTTATAGGGTTCTGTTACATAAATGTAATCAATTCAGAGGAACTGATCTACATGTTTCAAAAGGGTCTAAGCTTAGTGCTTTTCTTCTTTTCTCCTTCCTTCCTTCCTTCCTTCCTTCCTTCCTTCTTTCTCTCTCTCTCTCTCTTTCTTTCTTTTGGTATAAGTGAATTGCCAAGAAAGCAAATGGTAAGAATTTTGACAGACAACTGCCAATATTTGCTATTTAAACGAAGTATGGTAATGTGAATATTCAACATTTCTATAATGACCCACATTCCCTAAAGTACTGTTAGCAGTTTTGTTTCACCTATATTTCTACTCCAGATGCAATGGAATTTAAGGCACTCTAAAGTATGTTCTACTTAAACTTTATTTCGAGAAGCCAAGAAAAACTCTGTACTTGAAAGGCCCTGTTTCTGGTCTGGGAATATTACAACTTGCCATTATTTTTCGAGAAGTAGTGCCAAAATGTACCATGTAACTTGATTAAGCACAAATTAAAAAAAAAAAAATTAACGTTCATGCCTGAATCATAGGTTCAAGTGCTATGCCCTTAAGAGCTATGCTTTTTTCTCAGTTTATTTGACATTTCTGAAAGCAATATTCATGACCTCAAATGCAGCTTTTTAAATTCACTCAAT